AGACTGTGGTACAGTTTGTAACACGCTTGAGACAGCAAACGGAGAATTGTGAATTTGGTGACATTGGTCAAGTGGATGAAAAAGAATTAGGGACCAAGTGATAGAAAAGTGTATTTCAAACTTTGAGGAGGAAGTTGTTGGAGAAAAGTGGATTGACTTTGGACCAGTTGATAGAGATGGCACAGGTGTTTGAGGATTCGGATCTAGAGGTGAAATCTTCACTGATGGTCATGAAGTAAAAATGTTGTTGGAACTTCTAAAAAGGTCTGTGAACCAGGGAACATACCCAAGGAAAGGGAAAACTGAAGTGACATGTTATCGCTGTGGGAGGACAGGTCATATGTCAAGGGATAGTGAGTGTCCAGCTCGTGGGAAGACATGTCGTCAGAGGTGCAGAGCTGTAGGACATTTTGAAAAGTTTGTAAGACAAAGTTTGGACGGAAACCTAGAAGAGGTAAGCCAATAGGTATGATACCGCTAAACAGGCTTCTACAGGATAAGGATGAGGAGTCTTGTGTAGATGACACAAATTATGCATTTGTTGTTAATGAGGTGGAAGTACATGATGGTAGAATTCAGGTAGAGGTAGGAATGTGAACATACCAATGCTCATAGACTCAGGTTCATCATGTAACATAGTAGGATTGTCAACATGGAGAGACATGAAAGCAAAGGACATAATTTGTGATTCCAAAAGGAAACAAAGCCAGTATTTCCATATGGGGTGGATATGGCATTACCAGTTGCAGGAACTTTTAAGGCAGATATTAAAGCTGGTGAGATGACACTGAATGAGGTGGAATTCATTGTCGCTAAGAGGGATGGTCCTTCTCTCTTGGTAGAAAGACATCACAGAAACTAGGAGTTTTGAAACTGGGAAACAGTGTTAACTCACTACATACAACTATAGACTTTGTGAAAGCCTTCCAGAGTGTTTTGAAGGTTTTGGCAAATTGAAAGATTACCAGTTGAACATTCCTATAGATAGCTCAGTGCAACCAGTAATACAGAATCTAAGAAGTGTACCCTATCACTTGAGAGAAAGATTGAGCCAGAAATTAGAGGAACTTGAGAAACTGGACATTATAGAGAAAGTTGATGAACTAAGCTAAATGGGTTTCACCCATAGTGATTGTTCCAAGCCCGGAAAGATATACGGGTGTGTGTGGACATGAGAGTGGCTAATCAAGCAGTTATGAGAGTGCGACATCCTATGCCGACAATAGATGATGTCCTTCATGATCTAAGTAAGAGTACTGTCTTCAGTAAATTGGATATCAAGGGCATATCACCAGATTGAGCTTTGCGCCAGAGTCTCGCCACATCACAACTTTCTGTACACATCAGGGATTGTACCATTACAAGAGACTTCTGTTTGGAATTTCATGTGCACCAAGCTCTATCAGAAGATATTACAACAAATTCTACAGAGATGTGAAGGGGTACGCAACATCATGGATCTATATCATTGTGCACGCCAAGTGTTGAAGAACATGATAAAAGGATGGCTCATGTTCTGCAAGTTCTCAAAGACAAGGGACTTACATTGAACTGGATAAGTGTCAGTTCAGGAAGGAGAACTTACAATTTCTTGGACATGTTTTGTCCTAAACAGGATTAAGTCCTGCTGAAGCCAAGGTTGCAGCTGTTAAAGAAGCAAGAGCACTTACTACAGCCCAAGAAGTCAGGAGTTTTCTTGGTCTCGCGAATTTCAATGGGAGATTCATTGAAAACATGGCTACTATTTCAACCACTGCGAAACTGACACGAAGAATAATGTTTTCGTGATGGGGAAGTGAACAGAAAACAGCATTTGATACATTCAAGAAACGTTGACTAGCACAAGTGTAATTTTGCATACTTTGACAAGGAGGCACCTACTCAGATAATCACAGATGCTAGTCCGGGTCGGGCTAGGTGCGGTTCTTGTGCAACAGCAAGATGGTGTTCATCGTGGTGATATGCTATGCAAGCAAAAGTTTGACTGATGTAGAAAAACGCTTACTCACAAACTGAGAAAGAGGCTTTAGCCTTGGTATGGGCATGTGAACGCATTACATGCTTACCTGTATGGAGCCCATTTTGAAATTTAACAGATCACAAACCACTGCAGTTCATACATGCTATCCGCTCAAGGCCATGTCCTAGAATTGAACGCTGGGTGCTGGGGATGCAAGCCTATGATTACAGTGTTAAGTACATTAAAGGAGAGAACAATATTGCTGACTGTCTTTCTAGACTACTGAGGTCAAATCAACAAACTGCGGCGACAAGGAATTCAAGTGAAGCCGACGAGTATGTTCGATTCGTCGATCTGAATCAACGCCAGCAGCCTTGACAACTAGTGATGTTGAAAATGCATCTGAATCGGACAGTGAACTGAAAGTAATCAGGGACTGCTTATTATCAGGCAGATGGCATGTGATGACAAATGTGAAATACATTCCTGTGAGACATGAACTCTCAGCGATTGAAAGGTTGTTCTTCGGGAACTAGATTAGTTATTCCTATGTGCCTCTGTGGACAAGGTGTTGTGTTTGGCTCATGAAGGTCACCCAGGGTGGTGAAAATGAAACAGAGACTGAGAACCAAAGCATGGTGGCCAGGTATTGATGCACAAGCTGAAGCACACTGCAAGTCATGTCATGGATGTCAAGTTGTATCGAGTCCAAATCCTCCCCTACATTGTTTCCGCCAACAACTTTACCATCACTACCGCGGGCAACATTTGGGCAGCTGATCTCCTCGACCGCTGCCCTCGAGATAACATTCTAGTGGTAGTGGACTATTACAGTAGATTTTTTAACTTTACATTCTGAAGAAAGTTTCAACGGATGCCATCATTGGCTGTTTGAAAAGGCTTTTCTTACACATGGTTTGCCTTATACACTGAAAACAGACAATGGTCCACAGTTCATCAGTGGCAGTTTTGAGGACTTTATGAAACAAGAGGGAATAATCCAAAAACACATCCACACCTTCTTGGCCCCAGCAAATGGAGAGGTCGAGAGACAGAACAAGTCACTGCTGAAGATATTGAGGATTTCAGGTGGAAGAGAAAAATTGGAAACAGGAATTGCAACATTTCCTCATGATGTACAGAAGTACGCGATTCATCTACTGGAAAAGCACCAGCTGAGATGCTCTTTGGTAGAAATATTAGGACAAAATTGCCAGAATTGGTTGACTCCCGGTATTGATCGACTTTATGTCCGAGACTTCGACTCTGTACAAAAGATGAAAGGGAAGGATTATGCTGATCTGAAGCTGATGTGCTCAACATACTCCAATACAGACAGGGGATAAAGTGCTCGTTAGACAACATCGCGGAGAACAAGTTAAGCAGTAATTTCCATCCTCAACCTTGTACAGTAGTGAACAGGTATGGGAATGCAGTTGATCTGGAATCTAGTACAGGTGGCATGTATAGACGACATGTTACTCATGTTAAAAAGTATGTGTCAAAACCAGATGGTGATGTGAAGAACACTAACAGTCATGTTTCTAGTCAACATCGTGGTGTTGTCTGAGACAGCAGAGGTAATGAGATACAAGTGTTTCTAAAGTAACAGACATTGACAGTACCCCGGTGCAGCAAAACAGGAAGTAACTCAGAGACCTACAAGAATAAGAGAGCCTCCTAAAAGATTTGGAGACTTTGTGCTGGGTTATGTGAACTCATAAGTGACAATTCAAGGAACAATTGTTTCAAGGAACAATACAGACAGATGGAATTAAAAATGTAAACTTGAGAATATATTTTAACTTTAATTTATATCAGAAGGTATGCTTATTTTATGTAGACCTACAGAAATTGTGGAATTTGTTTTGTTACAGTATTGCTTTATCATATTTTGGGTAATGTAATTTCTGGATAAGACTTCTAAATATAGGTTTAGGTAGATTTCCATCCAAGATTGGTTTTATGATTTCTCAACATGTTGAAGTCAAGTGGTATTGAAATAATGGAGGTTGTAAATTTAATTTGGCATTATTAACATCTGAATGTTAATCTTTAATTTTATTATCTAAGTGTTATGATAGTAATCATTCATTTCTTGAAAAAAAAAAGGAGGGATGTAGTGTTTGTGCTTATTGTCCCGTATGGTCCGGGTTTACATTATATTCTCCGCTTATTAAAGAGAACGGAAATGTATCTGGCGCATGAGCAGCCTGAATGGGCAGACAAGTAAAGTGCGCGGAGCTGTGAACACGCGTTGTTGTTTTGTGTTGAACATAACGGACTTAAATGGGAGCGCACTAAGTGGCAACACCACATACGCATCCTTAGGGTTAGGGGTAAGGGTTAGGTTAGGGAAACCACAGAAGCACTAATTAATCTGAAAAAGTGCGCCCGGTAAAGTGCAGTACTCCCTATTATTCTTAACTAAAAGTGACAACATTCAGTGATACTATGTGCATAATTGCTTAGAAGAAAATATAATATGATAATAAACATGATTTTGTGACTTGATATTGTCTGTCATTGTCTCACGATATTGGCATGAAGACACATACCAGTAGTTAACAAAATTATGAATATTTTTAAAGGAAACTTTGGGGAAATATGCAACATCTGCTCAAGAGACTGGAACAGTTTTTTCCATGAAAACTTACATTTCCTTGGAGCAGTTGAGTGGCCAAAATTGTTTTTAAAAATGAGAAAATGGGTGACGTCAGCAGTTCCGCTTTGGGGACCTCTGTGGGCTAAAGCACGTACATGTTTGTAAAAGAAACATCATTTATTTACTTCTCAGTGGTTACTAGACCTTAAAAAAATAGGCCAAAAAATATTCCTTATATTTAAAAATTTGGTGTGCGGTCCCTACTAACAGTGGAGAGCGTCAACAGTGACCGGTTCAGTTGTTGTATTGACACTCGCGAAGCTCAGTTTTCATGACAGAAACATTTACTCTGAAAAATTGACAACCCACGTAGCAGTTGGGTACCATTTTTCAAAAACCTGACCTCGACGCTAATGTACACCCAAACATCATTACCCAGAACTTACGTGTCTGCAGGTTCCAAACAACGTTTTCTCGATTTCACTTCGCGAAACTTCTCGACAAAATGGAGTTACCTGCTCTTGATCCATGACTCCTTACAGCAGCTTTGAGGCGAGGTCATGCACAGAGTATATCGGGATGGATATGAAGGATATAATGGTCTTTTTGCAGCGGCATTATTTCAATCCATGCCGTGCTACCATATCTGTAGCCAGCTGTTAATACGATTATATACTTCCGCACACAGCAATAACGGCTTCGTATTTTTTTTGCATCAATGAAGTTCACTTAGGTAAGACGAATCTTAATTTTTATGTAAAATTGCATATAATACAACAATTACCGCGCCCTTCTTGTCATCCATGATTTATCGTATAAGCCCTACACCGTTGTATTTGTCATCATTCACCGATGCCCTGTTGATGACTTTATTACAAGTACTAATTACTGGTGCAGTACGCGGATGACCTAGACTGTGCAAAATAACCCAGTAAAGTTTCCCCCTGTCTCTGACGGTGTCAAGGTGTCACGCCATCGGTGCTTCTCATTTAGCTTTTCTCACGTTTAGTGTAATTATACAATGTAAGACTGGTTATAAAATGTTTGATCAAGTGAATGTATTACATGTTATGTAATATGTACGTGGCAGTGCAGCAAGTGAGGAATGGCCAGATGAGTTGCCCCAAAACCCAATCAAAGGATTATCCGACAATACGTTACTTGATTAAACACTGTTAGCTTGCACGGTCCATTTGTCAAAAGTGTATATGTATGTAGGTTTGCTTGAGCAGACGGGTAACACCCAAACCTTCAGAACTCCAGGCATGTTTCTAATCAAACCCGGTATATAATCCCACAAAAGCAGTTGGTACCAAAACCCGCCTAACCTGAACTCCCATGGCCCCGTGCGTGGATACTGACGGATGTATTCCTCGAACAAGTTAATTGTCTGATATTATACTTATAACTATTTTCGTCTGTAATTACGATATTTCAATTTTCATTAATTTTAGAAGTAAACGCGTGGGGTCTCATTCGTCCTTGATCAAACTGTTCCGTACGTAAACAGTATATATAACAGTAATAGAAACACTTTATTCCAAAGTGCTATATTTTCATCAAGCTTGTTTAGTACAAGCTGCAACTGAAATCTAAGAGATACAGTGTACTCTAACTGTGCATAATACTGACGTTCCCCAATAAACAAAAACATAGTTTGACTGTAGCTCTTTATTTTATATTCTTTATTATAACTGACAGTTTTCATTCTTCTTATCCTCCTATAGGTGTCGCTTCGCGCAGCGGAACGACTATTGCGCCAACACAAGTAAAACCTGTCTAAATTATATTCCATAATATGCAAATTGCTATTCCGCGAAGAAACAACCGATCCAAATTTTGAAGGTTCCAAAGTTTTGTAATTTTCCGACTGTGGCGTAAAACATAAGTAAAACAGAACGAGTCTCTGTAACAGTCTCTATACAACACAACAAAACATAATCTTATGTATCCCAGTAATCGTTTTGCTCTCTATTTTCCTCGCTACGTCGACATTCTCTTTGCTCCTCAGTCAGGCATAATCCAGTTTTGCCCCATAAGGCCAATGGTCTGACACATCGCTGTCTTAAGGGTTCTAGGAGTTTATATTACATGTATCGTTACAGGAAGCTCACACGACATGGTATAACTGAAATACTGAGCAAGGCGTCATTATAACCACTGACGTCGGAAGAATTCAGGCCAACACAATACACACGGCCTGTTTGAACAATTGACCTGGTTTCCGGTTTGTTATAAGAAAAGCTGACAGAAGTGGCGGCCTCGATGAATGAATCTATGTTCAGGAGCTGGCAGAAGTTGGCGGCCACGATGAATGAATCTGATTTCATCAGTGTAGCCAAGAGAGGTATATCCTGTCAGTTCCTTCCTGCTAAAAGACGCGATGACACACCGATGTGATGTATCTGGAACGTATCCTAGGCTACAGTGGTCTATGCTGGTGATGTCCTTCACACACACTCCCCCCTCACGTTTTTTACTTTGAAGATCACCGTAAGAAGTAAACCTGCAGAGACAGAGTCAGTAAGTTGGCTTTATGTTGCTGGGATATTGCGAAGGACAAATTTAAAAATGTTTCACGAGTGCTATGAGCTTGATATAACTCAAAAAAGCAGAGTTGAAAGGACGCTGATGCACCTCATCGCCATGGATTGTTTTTCCGGCGTTAGATGTGGCGAACAAACAGTTTGCGGCTCACAGCACTGAGTATTTTCCTTCAAACCACAATGGATATAGATGACACATTAGTTCACTGCACCGCAATTCGGTATAATTGTGCCAAAATATGGCGGTAAACTCCGGGATTCGTTTCCCATGTCTGAGAGTTCAAGAGTATTGAACTGGTCTTTTTGTGTTTTACTCCTTCTATACTGTCATGCTGTGACACCACGGATATATCAGTACTCAAAACGTTAATTCTCGATACAAGAGTTTCCCAGTTGGACCAATCGATAACATGACATCGTGGTCAGGACTGTCAACCCGCCTGGGAGCGTTATTCAGCTTTTTAGCCTCTCCGACACAGAACTACAGCATGCGGTGAGTGTAGTGGAACCTGCCATAACATACTTACTGAGGAAGGAGCACGCCGCCATTAGGCAGAACATCCCGAACCAGCCAATCAGTGTCTTCAGCTGAGACGCCAAGACGGCCCCCAGCGGTGCCGAGATGGCCTACAAGAGATACCATCAAATGTAAGCTTGTTTTGCACTGTATAACCAGATGGGTTTACCTGACATATATAATGGCATTGTGGGGTGCCTATATAGAGGATATTATATGAGCGCCCATGTCATACAATGTTTACGACATGAGTGCCTAAATGTTGGTATTTCCAGAGCGAGAGTGAGGGATATACGATATTTAGGCACGAGTGTCGTAACCATAGTATGATATGGGCACGAAGTCGTCAAATTGAGGAAAATAAACCCAAATCTACTTTCAAACATAGGCTGGCTACCCGCCGACGCCGCATGTAGAACGCAACGTCACCGAAGAAATGTGACGTCATAGCATTGTTCATGACGTCACGTTACCATGACAAAGTGATATTTTGCCCTAGCGTATCGTATGAAAAATATGAACCCCGATATGTTCGCCCTCGTAGGTAATAAATCACAAACATTGTATATACAGAATGTTTATTATAAGCGTTTGCACCCAAACGGACAAGTCGGATAGTTAATTCACTGAAACCATGTTTTGTGACGTCACAGTTGTAATGACGTAATATAACACGTCATCAGTATTGACCAAGTCACTTGCCGACACAGATTTCAGCACAGATGACACCACTTTTCTCCTACAGCACCTAATCAATGGTCAGAGTGTTGCGGTTTTATTTTCACGATCGTGTGGGTATTGCACACATTTGAATCAGAACTGATGAATGTCAACCGCTCTCACTTAATACATGTGGTAATTAAGTTATGACCGATGTTCTTTAAAAACAATACCTTACCCCGTGGCTCGAAACGTTTCATAAGTACAGCGTAAGGGTGCGCAATTTTGACAAAGCCAACGTCGGGAGCCGATGGTTATTGTGTGTTGACTTGTTTTCTGTCGCAAAAGTTGTAACATTGTTTGCCACACTATTATTGGCAAACTACATCAACTTTCAGCCTTGACATTTCAGCCATAATGACGTCACTCAAGACGTGTTCCGTGTCTTAGGATATCGTACAGTCGGTGCCTTTGATCTTTTAGTGAAGCATCTTAGAATTTCCACTATCTTCTGTTCTAGACATGCATATTTATTTGGTAAATTGGATCAGCACGGGAATCAAACTGTCCAATTCCAAGACATATTTGGTGTATGGGTGCCTACCTGCGATGTGAACACAAAGCCGTAGTTGATGGGGTAGTGTGTGTGGCCAAAGGCTGCAGTACCAGCGAGGGAGAAGAGGGCAAAATTTCCCGCCAGTGTCCCGAACATCACACACACGTAGATGAAGTATACGGGCATTCCGCCGAGGCTGGTGGCGTGGAAGGTGATGAGGACGCCGGTGGTGATGCCGCACAGGTATGGCATGGCCGTCTGCAGGTGAAACAGTTGAACATCATGTCTTCAATGTGGGCGACACAAGATATAGGTCATCCTTGAGTACCGGTGAAATACAATATACGTCATGTTCCGCAATGTATAGTTGAAAACACAAATTCTTAGTTAGTAAACAACTTGTATATACAAATTCTTGTTATGCGTAACTTAAAGTGCCACTTTGTTAAATCCATGACGGTAACACAACGTACCCGCAGTTACTTTCCCCTCGCATTCTGTCATCTACTTCGGTTGTAGCCATGACGGTAAAACAACGTTTTCTAACACAACCCGGGAAGACACTTGTCCAGTTTTTGTTCGCTTATCCAAAATATGAATACAGAATTTACTTACATTGTAAGAAAACCGATCTCCAATAAACCCCCAAAACAGCCTCCCTAAACAATTGAACAGGGCAGCAAAGGCACCGGTGACAGCCAGAAACATATCGTCCTTGATGAAGGTCTGGCCGTAGTCCTACAGGAAGTGAGATCTTCATGATGAGTCAACAAACAAGGCGGGTGACAAAGAATTTAAGCGATGACCTTCACAAACATGTATCATAAATTTCCCGTGGACGACTTAACTGATCAGTTGTCATATAAATCCCTAGGTTCTTTTGTACAGGATTGATGGTTGTTGGGCCATGGTCGTGACAACAATCACAGTTTTGCTCAGACTATGATTGTTGATAGGCCGTGGTCATGTAGCGTGAATACCGTCACTGCGGCAGTAAACAACAACATCATCAACAACAACAACGCCCCGAACATGAACATGTTCATGAATGCTGACATTCTCCTATGATGTGACCTGATGGTGTAGTTATAGAGGACGTGATGAGTGGTTGGCACACATTAGTTCCTGTATATTGGAGTTATGTATCCCCAAAAGATATGTAAAATTGGAATATCAAAATGCATAATTGTGACCTTGTACAGTGTTAAGACGAACACCACTCCTTGGCCGTTCAGCAGGAAACATGTCCAGAGGATGTAGAAATGCCTTGACCGTAACACCTGGCCAGGGGTCAAGTCCACAGGTGATCTGCAGTAGTACAAGGGGACAGGACGTAGTATTCAATGGGATACATGGCATATGTAAACTGTCGAATACATTTAAGAATTGGACGTGACCAAACATATATAACTAAGTTAGTATAAACCAAAACCTGCAAGCTCCTTATTTCTAAAACACATCTACGAGAATATTTGCTAGTTTTGTTTTCATTTGCATCCATTATCCGACATAGAGTTTGGTATTCATATTCGTGCGCTACCCATGCGCTAACTATGCTATGCTTTACGTGTTTGGGATATTACAGATGCAATACCCATGGGCCAGCTATGCTATGGTTTAAGTAATTGGAGAATTACAGATTGGGACAAGTACAGACTCCATGTACCTTCTGACGCGGTTTCAAGACAGCCTATTTCATTCAGGAACGAGCCAAACCATGTTTGGTGATGCCTTGACATGATGACACACGTTGATTATGATTTGTGTAAAAAACTGCATTTGTTTTTAAAAGATCCCCCCTCATCTTGTACCCATTACAGAGCCACAACGCAGAACATGCAGACTCCATACTGTCTCTGTACAGAGCCACGACGCAGAACATGCAGACTCCATACTGTCTCTGGGTCATGAGGCTTTACCACAATGATCAGGAATAAATGATTTTAAATATGACCAACCAGTACGTATTACATGTAGACACACGTGACGTGGATATTACCTACTCATCAACATCGCTGGTGCATTCATTCGCCTCCGTGTCTTCTGTAGGACTGGTGTTAGGAACAATACTGGCGTCATCACTGGCCCATGTGTCTGCAGTGTGCCTCGTGTTAGGAACAATACTGGCGTCATCATTGATCTCCGTGTCTGATGTGGTGCTGGCGTTAGAGACAAGACTGGTCTCAGCATTCACCACCCTGTCTGGAGTGGGACTGACCTCAGTGACATGGGAACCAGACGTCTGTGTGGTGGTATCTGCTGAAACCTGCAACAGTTTGACATAGTGCGAGAAATACTTTGTTATAATGCCTTCAAGTAAGTGTTATAGTATTCACACAATTTAGATCTGCTCTTGCTCTTGGACTTGGGGTCATCACATGGTTATTCATGACTGTTATTGTTTGTGTCGACTTGATGAATTTCAAGTTACACACTCAGACTCACAAGCACGCACATACATACAAGTATAACTGTGGTACCTGTGGGGGTTCGGTCATCAACAGGACACCCACCAACTGTATGACACCGTACAGCCCCCCTGTCAGTACAAACACCCGCGGCACCCTCTCCAACACTTCCGGCTGAGTGAAATATCTGGTGATGAGATACATTGATTATCGTAAACGACAAATCGTCAGCGAAAATATTATTTCATGTATATGCAATCTGCGCAATCTGGTACAGTCCATATTTATCAGGATACAATGTTTCTGTGATGGTCACATTAACTTTGTTACAAATGGTTGTGAGGAAAGGATAGGTGAAGCCTAATGGACTGTCTTACGTTTGGATTTACAGGGATGTGGCAAGCATTACAATGAGAGAGGGAGGGAGTGAACTGGGTCCAATGTACATCCATTATATCACGTCGTGTCAGGAAGAACTGCAGATTTTACCTCGCACAGGTGTACTTACGTCTGTCAGTGAAAGACTCTAAAGGGGACTTCGGAAACTTAAGCCTTGCTCTACAAACACACATTTCGATTGTAATGACGTTATGAAATAACTGAATACCATTTTGTCTTCAAAGAATTATCTGATGGACTTGCCCATGTTTGACTCACTTTTCGTTATTGACTGTCAGGTCGGTGGGCAGGTTACCGGGGTTGATGAAGGCTGTCTGGACCAGGTTAAAGATGAAGCCCCCCCCCGAACCCCGCCACCACCAGACCCCCAGCTAGACCCTTCCGTTCCGGCAACCACTGTCAACACACAACGTCAAGAGAAGCGTCATATTACTGCCATTTGTTTGTGATGGTGCCCATTGTGTTTAAAGTTTTTAAGATGAGATGAGATTTAATGTTTTTAAGATGAGATAGTGGTCTACTCCAAAGGTTCAAATCAGATGTGGCTTCCGAACCAGTCACTGAGTGAATTCTCTTTATTGTTGGTTTAACGTCGCACTCGATGATATTCCAGAATTTCACTGGCAACCTGGAAATAATTATGTCCGGACCAGCAAACCAGTTTCTGAACATACTTATCAACTGTCCATGCCAATACGGTACAATTACACAGAGTGAACCCAGCCATCAATCCTGACCACCCTAAGCATTAAGTCGTCTCGTACACACAAGCACAGTTGCTATTGATCAGGTCTAAGCAGGAATCTGAAGGAGCACGTCAATGAGTACCAAGCGCAACTACAGATGAATTTAGCGTACCTTCATCGCGCAGGACATAGGCAGTGAGTAGGCGACACCTACACCAAGACCACACACGACGCCGTACGTCACGATGACGCCGAGGAAGGAATGCTGCACCGTGAAGAACGTCAACATGACGCCTGCACTGAAACCAAATCAAAACTTTCAATAGCATCTGACTGCAAGAGCACATCGATATGTCACAAGACTTAAAGAGGCAACAACGTTTGACAACATGGTCAGTAGAGTGTAACATAGTGAGTACAGTACAACATGGTCAGTAGAGTAGAACATGGCCAGTAGAATACAATATAATCAGTAGAATACAATATGGTCAGTAGAGTAAAACATGGCCAGTAGAATACAACATGGCCAGTAGAGTACAACATGGCCAGTAGAATACAACATGGCGAGTAGAGTACAACATAGTCAGTAGAATACAACATGGCCAGTAGAGTACAACATGGCCAGTAGAATACAACATGGCCAGTAGAGTACAACATAGTCAGTAGAGTACAATATAGTCAGTTGAGTAGAAAATGGCCAGTAGAATACATGGTTAGTAGAGTACAATATGGTCAGTAGAGTAAAACATGGCCAGTAGAGTACAACATGGCCAGTAGAGTACAACATGGCTAGTAGAGTAAAACATAGTCAGTAGAATACAACATGGCCAGTAGAGTAAAACATTGCCAGTAGAGTACAACATGGTCAGTGGAATACAACATGGTCAGTAGAGTAAAACATAGTCAGTAGAATACAACATGGCCAGTAGAGTAAAACATTGCCAGTAGAGTACAACATGGTCAGTAGAATACAACATGGTCAGTAGAGTACAACATAGTCAGTAGAGTACAATATGGCCAGTAGAGTACAACATGGCCAGTAGAGCAAAACATAGTCAGTAGAGTACAACATGGTAACTAGAATACAACATGGTCAGTAGAGTAAAACATAGTCAGTAGAGTAAAACATGGCCAGTAGAGTACAACATAGTCAGTAGAGTACAACATGGCCAGTAGAATACAACATGGTCAGTAGAGTACAGCATAGTTAGTAGAGTACAACATAGTCAGTAGAGTACAACATGGCCAGTAGAGTACAACATTGCCAGTAGAGTACAACATGGCCAGTAGAGTAGAACATGGCGAGTAGAGTACACCATGGCCAGTAGAGTACAACATGGCCAGTAGAGTAGATCATGGCCAGTAGAGTACAACATAGTCAGTAGAGTACAACATGGCCAGTAGAGAACAACATGGCCAGTAGAGTACAACATGGCCAGTAGAGGAAAACATGGCCAGTAGAGCAAAACATAGTCAGTAGAGTACAACAAAGTCAGTAGAGTACAACATGGCCAGTAGAGTACAACATGGCCAGTAGAGTACAACATGGCCAGTAGAGGAAAACATGGCCAGTAGAGCAAAACATAGTCAGTAGAGTACAACATGGCCAGAAGAGTACAACATAGTCAGTAGGGTACAACATAGTCAGTAGAGTGCAACATAGTCAGTACAGTAAAACATAGTCAGTAGAGTTCAACATAGTCAGTATAGTACAATATGGCCAGTAGAGTACAACATAGTTAGTAGGGTACAACATAGTCAGTAGGGTACAACATAGTCAGTAGAGTACAACATAGTCAGTAGAGTAAAAAGTAGTCAGTAGAGTACAACATAGTCAGTAGAGTAGAACATGGCCAGTAGAGTACAACATAGTCAGTAGGGTACAACATAGTCAGTAGAGTAAAACATGGCCAGTAGAGTAAAACATAGTCAGTAGAGTACAATATAGTCAGTAGAGTACAACATGGCCAGTAGAGGACAACATAGTCAGTAGAGTAAAACATAGTCAGAAGTGTTGAACATAGTCAGTAGAGTACAACATGGCCAGTAGAGTACAACATTGCCATTAGAGTACAACATGGCCAGTAGAGTGCAACATGGTCAATAGAGTACAATATGGCCAGTAGAGTACAACATGGCCAGCAGAATACAACATGGTCAGTAGAGTACAACATAGTCAGTAGAGTACAACATAGCCAGTAGAGTACAACATAGCCAGTAGAGTACAACATTACCAGTAGAGTACAATATGGCCAGTAGAGTAGAACATGGCCAGTAGACTACAACATGGCCAGTAGAGTACAACATGGCCAGTAGAGTACAACATTGCCAGTAGAGTACAACATAGTCAGTAGAATACAACATGGCCAGTAGAGTGCAACATGGCCAATAGAGTACTCCATGGTCAGTAGAGTACAACAAGGTCAGTAGAGAATAGTACAATATGGCCAGTAGAGTACAATATGGCCAGTACAGTACACCATGGTCAGTAGAGTACACCATGGCCAGTAGAGTACAACATCGTCAGTAGAGTACAACAAAGTCAGTAGAGTACAACATGGCCAGTAGAGTAAAACATGGCCAGTAGAGTAAAACGTGGCCAGTAGAGCAAAACATAGTCAGTAGAGTACAACATGGCCAGTAGAGTACCACATAGTCAGTAGGGTACAACATAGTGAGTACAGTACAACATAGTCAGTAGAGTAAAACATAGTCAGTAGAGTACAACATAGTCAGTAGAGTACAATATGGCCAGTAGAGTACAATATAGTTAGTAGAGCACATGGTCAGTAGAGGTACAACATGGCCAATAGAGTATACCTTGGCCAGTAGAGAAACAACATGCATAAATGGACAACAGTAAAACACAACAATATCAGTAGAGTACAGCAAAGTCAGTGATACACAAGTAGAATGCAACATGGTCAGTAACAGCAAAGTCAGTAGAAGTACAACATGGCCAGTAGAGTACAACACACACACACAAACAGTAGAGAGTACAACATGGCCAGTAGAGGCAAACATAGTCAGTGACACACAACACAGAGTAGGACACAACATACACAGTAGAGTACAACACACACAGTAGAGCAGACATAGTCACACACACACAACATAGGCCAGTAGAGTAGGTAGAGTACAACACACACATGGCACAATATGGCCACAGTGAGGTACAACATAGAGTAACATACAACACAGTCAGTAGCAACATAGTCATGAGCACAACATAGGACAGTAGAGTAAAACACAGTCAGTAGAGGTACAATATAGCCAGTAGAGGTACACCAGAAGAGTAAACATGGCCAGTAGAGTACACACATGGACACAACACATAACACACACAACATGAGGTACAACATGGCTAGTACACACAACATCAGTAGAATACACATGGAAAATACAGTGCACAACAACACACAGAGCACAACATGGTCAGTAGAGCACAACACAGAGCACACATGGCCAACACACAGTGACAACACACACAGTAGACACACACAGTAGAGTACAAAAAGTCAGTAGACACACATGGCCAGTACACACACAACACACACACACAGAGGAACACACATGGCCAGTAGAGTACAACATGGCCAGTAGAGTACAACAGACACAGTGAGAGGTACAACACACACACACAAAGAAGTAGAACAACATGGCCACACACACATGGTACAGTAGAGACACACACACACAACACAGCCAGTAGACACAACATGCACACAGAGTACACATGGTCACACAGTACAACACAGTAGAGTACAGACACAACACACATGGACACAACACAACATGGCACAACACAACAAACATAACCCAGTACACACAGTACACATGGCACAGTAGAGTACACACAACCAGAGTCAGTAGAGTACATAGTCAGTGACACAAAACATCGCCAGTAGAGTACAACATGGCCAGTAGGGTACAACATAGTCAGTATAGTACACATAGTCAGTAAGAGCACAACATAGTCAGTAGAGTAAAACATAGTCAGTAAGAGTAGAAACATGGCCAGAGAAGAGTACAACGTAGTCAGTGAGAATTACAACATAGTCAATGGGGGTAAAACATGGCCAGTAGAGTAAAACAGTAGAGTACAACATGGTCAAAATAGAGATACAACATGGCCAGTAGAGTACAACATGGTCAGTAGAGTACAACATAATCAGTAGAGTAGAACATGGCCAGTAGAAACATGGCCAGTAGAGTAGAGTACAACATACATGGCCAGTAGAGTACAACATAGTCAGTAGAGATACAACATAGCCAGTAACAGAGTAGAACATAACATCAGTAGAGTACAACATGGTCAGTAGAGTACAACATGGCCAGTAGAATACAACATGGCCAGTAAAGAATACAACATGGCCAGTAGAGTACAACATATGCCAGTAGAGTACAACATAGTCAGTAGAGTAGAACATAGCCAGTAGAATAAAACATGGCGAGTAGAATACAACAGGCCAGTAGAGTACAACATGGCCAGTAGAGTACAACATAGTCAGTGAGTAGAGTACAAACATGGCCAGTAGAGTACAACATAGTGAGTACACATGGTAACATGGCCAGTAGAGTACAACATAGCCAGTAGAGTACAACATGGCCAGTAGAGTACAACATGGCCAGTAGAGTACAACATGGCCAGTAGAGTACAACATGGCCAGTAGAGTACAACATGGTCAGTAGAATACAACATGGCCAGTAGAGTACAACATGGCCAGTAGAGTAGTAGAGTACAACATGGCCAGTAGAGTACAACATGGCCAGTAGAGAGATACAACATGGCCAGTAGAGAGTACAACATGGCCAGTAGAGAGTACAACATGGTCAGTAGAATACAACATAGAGCCAGTAGAGTACAACATGGCCAGTAGAGTACAACATAACCAGTAGAGTACAACATGGCCAGTAGAGTACAACATAGCCAGTAGAGTAAAACAGTGTCAGGAGAGTATAATATGGCCAGTAGAGTACAACATGGCCAGTAGAGTACAACATGGCCAGTAGAATACAACATGGCCAGTAGAGTACAACAAAGTCAATAGAGTACAACATGGCCAGTAGAGTACAACATGGCCAGTAGAGTACAACATGGCCAGTAGAGGAAAACATAGTCAGTAGAGTACAACATGGCCAGTAGAGTACAACATAGTCAGTAGAGTACAACATAGTCAGTAGAGTACAACATAGTCAGTAGAGTACAACATAGTCAGTAGAGTACAAACATAGTCAGTAGAGTACAACATGGCCAGTAGAGTACAACATGGCCAGTAGAGTACAACATGGCCAGTAGAGTGCAACATGGCCAATAGAGTACTACATGGTCAGTAGAGTACGACAAGGTCAGTAGAGTACAATATGGCCAGTAGAGTACAACATGGCCAGTAGAATACAACATGGTCAGTAGAGTACAACATGGTCAGTAGAGTACGACATAGTCAGTAGAGTACAACATAGCCAGTAGAGTACAACATTGCCAGTAGAGTACAACATGGCCAGTAGAGTACAACATGGCCAGTAGAGAACAACATGGCCAGTAGAGTACAACATGGCTAGTAGAGTACAACATAGTCAGTAGAATACAACATGGCCAGTAGGAAGCAGCATGGCCAATAGAGTACTACATGGTCAGTAGAGTACAACATAGTCAGTAGAGTACAGCATGGCCAGTAGAGTAGAACATGGCCAGTAGAGTACAACATAGTCAGTAGAGTAGAGCATGGCCAGTAGAATACAACATTGCCAGTAGAATACAACATGGCCAGTAGAGTACAACATGACCACTAGAATACAACATGGCCAGCAGAGTGCAACATGGCCAGTACAGTACAACATGGTCAGTAGAGTAAAACAGTTTTAGGAGAGTATAATATGGCCAGTAGAGTACAACATAGTCAGTAGAGTACACAAAATCTGACTGAACATTTACAATTCAACACGCCAACGCTAGTTTGTTCATTCAAGGGTGTTCGCAGTGTAATTAACTGCGACATGCACTTTCCACCCCGTACAGTGTACTTGGTAACGTCGGATCGAGTGGTGTTTTACCACTCAACGCTAAAAAACTGTCATATATACTTGTCATCATAATGGACACAGGGGCTTGTCTAAAGATTCAATGCTTACTGCTTCATGTGCTCATGTGTAAGTGTCGTTGATGTTCTGAGCATACGCAGTTTTGTCTTTTTAATGTAAAGGGGCACAGTAAGTTTCCCTGTCGCAGTTGAGCACTAAATCTATCGCATACGTTCCGCTAACAGTTGCAGTCTGCAATGTAAACTCATGATCGCTCAGTATTCTCACCTCATCGTCCAGGAACCCAGCAGGACTGTAGGTCGGAGTCCGATATGTCTGTAGATGAACCCGCCGAGGAACATAGACAGGCCATGACCTATCAGGGTACACGCGTAGATCCAAACACTGTCACTGTAGGTCACGTCTACACGTGTGTTGTGACGTAAGTATGACGTCATATAGGGCGACAGGTTACCTGCATGAATTAGATGCACCTTATCGTTCAAAAGTTTGTAACATGCACCGTGACCTGTTCTGAGTGGAAATGTGAAGCACAAATTGTGAACAGGACCTCAATATGTTATTAGAAGAGACAAAACAACTACCAGTAACCATGTGAACTCTCCATTGTATGTTTCGGACCTTACAATGAGCATGTGCATATTTTCATCTAAAACTCGTTGCCCAGTCGTCAAAGGCACTACATTTTGCTTGCAGGGTTGCGCCCTTTGGACACACCAGAAACCGATGGTCGTTAGATTGTGAGTCGCCACGTTAGGGACCGTCTGAGACCTGCAATAGTTCGGGATTGTCTCCCACATAAAGCTGAGATGTCGTGATAACTATGACATACATGTAAGGGTCATATCAGGGTTTCATGAATAGGTTAGCGTATCCTGTTCCGTCGGCACAAGTCAATAATACAGGCAGAGGCACTCTAGTTACCAGGAATGGGCACAGGACGCGTTGTTTTTTTATTTGAGTCCCAGGATGGTTCGATGGCTTGCCAGCGTAAGATGCACATAGGTTTCACCTAAGCTTCAAATGTCTGTAAGTGCAATTGCGTTTTTGTCTAAAGTTGACATGTGAAACTTAAACCATGTCCACACACAGTGATTCCAATAAAGTGGTCATATTTCAGCCATATCGTGACCACAGAAATATTTAAATTAAGAATAAATCTTACAATACTTTTTAAAAAGCTGTCATCGAAGGACAGTATAACTACTAGAATATCCCATTTGTCATTAATACTAGCTTGAGAAAATTTAAATGTTATGCTATTTATTGACAAACACAATATAAAAGTGGGCTAGAGATCGCTAGCAACTAAAGCGAGGCCACCATACTAGGGACGGTGGGCACCGACAATACTTTTGCTTCCTGGACGGTTCCCCAACTGCATGTATACCATCACTTTAGCGGCTTGCGATTGTATGCAACGTTAGCCATGACTCTAAAATGTACAAATATATTACGATTGAAAACGGTGATACATACGAATATTCTTGAAGTGAGCTTATATATCCTCTCAGGGGACAATAGCTATTTCTTATTCCAACAAAAAACATTGCTGCAAATCACATTCATGTCAGCTATGGCGATCATTCAGAATGCTTTCGTACACATAGCTTAGTGATATCTTCTTGACTAAATCACATCTAGACAATTTATGAACCACCTCATCGTATTTCAAGGCAAGGGATACGAGGAGTTATAGTATGATGCTACCAACATTCGATAATATACACATCACTTTCACGTTGTACGCTGCGAGCGCATGCTTAGAGTATTCATTTATGTTCCCCGAACATATTGCACACATTATATATAATGTGAATCCTGTTTTATAATTTATTGATCATATTCACTACAACGTCAATCAGACCATAGAACGCTAGTCACATCAATGTCATTGTGACGCTTGGGTAAGCATAGTTTGCAAACAGTTGTCATTGTGAAGTGATCACGTTTACAAAATGATACATTATTCACTATATACTTCTTCAAACAACTTTATGGAAACAAGCTGTCAATTAAGATACTATGTGCCACAATTTCATATTCATTTGTTATAGATGTTTCACAATTGTAATTTCTGAATTTAGAGGTTTTAAATAATTACATTGGCAGTATAAGGTAACTAATACTGGAGAGATACATTTATACAGAGTGTTTAAAGTCAGCTCAGTTGCATTCACACTACTTTTGTCCAAATATCATGTACCTGGTTAGTGAACAAAAGCCAGTGTGCCTACAGGCACTCCACAGTTGGGATTGTCAAGATCTCCTATTCTTCGTAGAATGACCATTCGACTAAGTACACTTTATTTATATCGGTCGTTATGACAATCCATACACGAACCAATCTAACAGTTAGCGTAACCATAAATCTAAGTTCTGCTAATTTCTAACCATTTGTGTGACCATCAATCTAAATACTTTCATTTCTAACAGTTTGTGTGACCATCCACCTAAATGCTGTTCATTTCTAACAGTTTGTGTGACCATCCATCTAAATACTGTTCGTTTCTAACAGTTTGTGTGACCATCCATCTAAATACTTTTCATTTCTAACAGTTTGTGTGACCATCCATCTAAATTCTTTTCATTTCTAACAGTTTGTGTGACCATCCATCTAAATACTTTTCATTTCTAACAGTTTGTGTGACCATCCATCTAAATACTTTTCATTTCTGACAGTTTGTGTGACCATCCATCTAAATGGTGTTCATTTCTGACAGTTTGTGTGACCATCCACCTAAATGGTGTTCATTTCTGACAGTTTGTGTGACCATGCATCTAAATGGTGTTCATTTCTGACAGTTTGTGTGACCATGCATCTAAATGGTGTTCATTTCTGACAGTTTGTGTGACCATCCACCTAAATGGTGTTCATTTCTGACAGTTTGTGTGACAATCCACCTAAATGGTGTTCATTTCTGACAGTTTGTGTGACCATCCACCTAAATGGTGTTCATTTCTGACAGTTTGTGTGACCATCCACCTAAATGGTGTTCATTTCTGACAGTTTGTGTGACCATCCACCTAAATGGTGTTCATTTCTGACAGTTTGTGTGACCATGCATCTAAATGGTGTTCATTTCTGACAGTTTGTGTGACCATCCACCTAAATGATGTTCATTTCTGACAGTTTGTGTGACCATGCATCTAAATACTAATCATCTAATCATTAAAATACATCTATCTACAGAACATATTATTCAAAATTCATCTATGAAATCAATTTCTTTTAAACAAAACAATAATTAAATGAAAATTAACATTGTTAAAAGAATCCTTACCTGTTTTCACATTGAAATATCTATCCCTTACGATGGAGAATTCAACACAGTCAAGTAGGATATGCTTGACCGTGAGTCTCTCATCACAAGGGATACAAAACGGAGGATCTTCACCTTTTAACAAGCATTTGTGAATATAACGTGTATGGCCAATGCGACATCGTCGCATGATCTCCTCAAATCTGGATTGACAACCCAAGTAGGTGTAACCAATATACGGTTTTATTTCATGTAATTTATTGATACCTACTTGGGTATCCCACTTCTTCTGCATCAGAGCACGGATGTAGGTTCTAATGTTAGCTTTGTAATCAGAGTACGGGATAAGAAGTGGTGTTACAGTTGAGTGCTGCCTTGGCAGCAAGATCAGCCACTGTGTTCCCAAAATGCCAACATGGCTGGGTAACCAACAAAATACAATGTCACATTGGCCAGTAGCAAGCTCATTATACAATTCAATAATTTCTATTAAAAGTGGATGTTTACAAGAAAGATTTTTAATAGCCTGAAGACACGAAAGAGAATCGGAAAAGATTATGTATTGTTTATATTTACGGTGTTTATTAATATATTTAAGAGCTTTTAATATGGCGTTAGCTTCTGCTGTGAAAATAGAGCTGTTATTTGGTAGTCGAGAAGATATTGTTCGGGATCCCATGACAGTGGCACATGCCACCGCCACCATCCTTGGACCCATCTGTAAATAAGGATTTGTATGTGTTATATTTAGTTTTCAATTGATTATATTCTTGTTTATATTGTAATTCATTAGTTTCAGATTTCTTAAACTTTGTCAGAGTTAGGTCAACTTCAGGCCTAACCAGTTGCCAAGGAGGAGAAGAAAGAAGACGGGACTGAGATATATTTTCCAGCTCAATGCCGGCAGCAGAAATGAATGGTTTAATTCTTAGCCCAAGAGGCGAAACAAGAGAAGACTTTTTGTTGTATAAATCCTCATAAAGAGGATTGAAAACACAGTTAAATGCAGGATTCGACTCGTTACAATAGAGTTTTGTTATATACTGTAGAGATAATTTGATACGCCGTTGGTTAAGGGGTGGCTCATCAGCTTCAACATAGAGACTGTCAACAGGAGAAGTTCTAAAAAATCCAAGACAAAGCCTTAGGCCTTGGTGGTGGACAGAATCAATTAGTTTTAGGTTGCTTTTGCAGGCTCCACCATATACGATGGAGCCATAATCAAGTTTAGATCGCACCAATGATCTATATAAGTGAAGGAGGGTAGTTTGATCCCTTCCCCACTTTGAATTGGAGACAACCTTTAACAAATCGAGTGCCTTCAGGCATTTAGCTTTAAGGGATTTAATATGTGGCAGGAATGTTAAATGGGAATCGAAACTTAGGCCCAAGAATTTGGCCTCCTTTACAACTTTGATGGGGTGTTATTTAAAGATAGTTCTGGGTCCGTATGAGGCTTATATTTTCCACAAAAATGTATACAATTAGTTTTTGATTTAGAAAATTTAAAGCCGTTTTCAAGACACCATTCATTTATTTAGTTTAAACATAACTGCAATTGCCGTTCAATAGTGTGCATATTTTTACCACGACAAGAAATAGTGAAATCATCCACAAATAATGATCCATCATTTGAATTATTTAAAACCTTTGATAAACTATTGATCTTGATGCTAAACAGTGTGACAGACAAAATACTGCCTTGTGGGACACCCTGATCCTGATTATAATGATCAGACAGGGTTGAACCCACTCGGACTTGAAATTGCCTGTCTTTTAAAAACTGGGATATAAAAAGAGGCAAACGGCCTCTCAAACCAAAATCATGTAATTCCTTCAAAATGCCATGCTTCCAGGTCGTATCATAAGCTTTCTCAAGATCAAAGGAAATTGATACAACATGTTGTTTATTTACTATAGCATTTATAACAAAGGATTCTAAACGTACCAAATGATCAATGGTACTACGATTTTTCCTGAAACCACATTGAATATTTGTTATAAGGTTATTGGTTTCAAGATACCAAGTTAATTTATTATTCACCATACGTTCCATGGTTTTACAGACACAGCTAGTTAGAGATATCGGTTGGTAATTCGACGGATCTGTATGATCCCTGACAGGTCTTGGTATTGGGACTACAATGGCATCACGCTATGAAGGAGGACATTCTCCAGACGTTCGTATTTGGTCAAATATATCTAAAAGTGTCATCAGACATGGTTCAGGCAAGTGTTTCACTAGCTGGTAATTTATATTATCATCACCCGCTGCAGTGTCATGAGCTTGCTCAAGAGCAGTATGTAGCTCATGTAATGAAAACACTTCATTATAATCCTCTCCGTTATTTCATTCGAAATTAAGTTTTGTCTTTTCCTGTTGTTTCTGGTATCTCTGAAACTCAGGGACATCATTTGCCGATTATGATTTTTTGGCAAAAGTTTTGCCAATGTTATTTTCAATCTTCGACTTGTCGGTAATTAAATTATCACCATCTTTAAGATGGTGAACAGCAGACATTGAAGCTTTGCCTTTCATTATCTGAACCATATTCCATACCTTGGACATGGGCGTGCGTGAATTAATTTTGGAGACATAATGTCTCCAAGATTGTCGTTTGCTTTGTTTGAAGGTACGACGCGCCTTTGCATTGAATATTTTAAATTTATTTAAGTTATGGACAGTTGGATTATGGTGGAAATAACGCTCTGCTTTTTTCCTCGCTTTTCTGGCTTCTCTACAATGATAGTTTTCGTACATGTGGAGTCGTAGAGGACTTTGGTATACGTCTACAGCTATTTCATTTAAAACGTCAGAAAAAATCTTAATGGGATCAGTTATATCACTGAAACATTCAGGTTGCAGTTTCGATTTACAAATAGTTTGATATAAGGACCAGTTAGCCTTCGAAAGGTTCCATCTTGTATACGATGGAGAATCAGATGGAGTTATTTCTGAAAGAATAGTTGGGAAGTGGTCACTTCCACAAAGGTCATTGTGAACAGACCAATCAAATTGATTGAGGAGGTTAGAATCTGCAAGAGACAAATCCAGAGAAGAATAAGTGCCAGTTGCAGGATGCAGATAGGTGCTTGAATCATCATTATATATACACAGGTCATTACTGGAAATGAAATCTTCCAGTATTTTACCTTTAGTATTTGTGTTATTACTGCCCCACAGTGGGTTGTGGCCGTTTAGGTCACCCATAATAACACAGGGCTTCGGGAGTTGATCATAGAGTGATTGAAGATCGGTCTGATGAAGTGTCGATGAAGGTGGAATATACAGAGAGCATAATGTAAATGCTACACCCAGAGTAAGTGGCACTCCCACAGCTTGGAGATTAGTTTTAAGCATAACGGGGCTGTGAATAACATCCTGCCGTACAAGTATAGAAGATCCTCCAGTGGCCATATCACCCAGAGGAGAAAAATAATGATAGGCTCTAAACTGGCGTAAAGTAAAATCATCCGTCTGTTTGAGATACGTTTCTTGCAGACAGAATGCCGATGGTGTTAGATCCTGGACTAATAGCTGTAGTTCATTAAAATAGTCCTTAGACCTCTACAATTCCACTGCACGATACTAGTAAAATGACCTATCTTGTAGGTGGATTGATAGGGGATCTACCCCTCATTTTCATCGAGGGCGACGAGCTATGTGCCCTGGGATAGGAATTTTCGGACACTTCCATGTCCTAAAGCGATCCGTATTTATTGAATATTTTGATTGGATTTTCTGAACCCTTTGGGGGTCTGCCACTTTTTTTCAATGTTCTGTTCTTGGTTTATGAGTACTTTGAACAGTGTGCTTGGAATTTGTTTTAGTTCGAGTTTGTTGGGCTGACTGAGATGATGAAGTTTCCCAGGATAAAGATGAATATTGACTAGATGAGTGTGATGGAACTTCAGACAGGATGTCCACGGTATTTCCAGAGTTCTGAGTAGACTGTTCAGGTGTGAGTGACTGAGGCTTGTTGGTTTTAACCCACGTCAAGTCTGTTTGACAATGTATTGAAGAGATGGGTACTGATAAGGTGTCCGAAGAAGTCCTTGCAACTGATGCATACGAACCACCTGGTGCTGTTGTTGATTCAACGATTTTTTTTGCATCAACAAAGCTAATATTTTGGGTAAATATGATTTTAGAAATTTCCATTTGTTTTATCCAAATTTGGCAGTCTTTTGAGAAGGAAGAATGACTTCCTGTACAGTTTGTGCACTCGTTTTGGGTACTAGTACATTCTGTAACATGGGTAGTCTCACTGCAGTGAGCACATGTTATCGGTTTTGTACAGGTGTTAACACCGTGGCCATATTTTTTACATCTAAAACATCTCAAAGGATTTGGGATATAGATGTCAACTGACATATTGCAGTAACCTGCCTTGACTGACTTTGGGGGATTTGTTGGTTTGAATGGTTTCGTTGTTTCTGCGGGTAGTAAATCGTTTCACATATATTACTCCCTGGTCTTTCATTTCAGAAACAATGTCTTATTCAGACATATCAGCCAACAGTCGATCTTTGTCTCTGATTATACCTTTACTGGTATTTAGTGTTCTATGGGCAGAGACTATAACAGGAACTCCAACAAACATATCCGTAGATAGCAGGCTGGTCGCTTGCTGTTTTCTGGTACATTCAACCAAAAGGGATCCTGAACGCAAGCGTTTGATGTTTCGTACCTGTCCTGCTAATCCGTTGAGACCTTAGAAATCGCAAAAGGATTAAGTTTCAAGGGAGTCGTATCCGGAGTTTCCATAATCAAACATCGTGGTCAATTATCAACAGAATTACAAGGTCGCTGTTCCTCATCATTGTCGAGTGGACGTTTTGTCTTTTTTGAGGGTGTTTGATACTCCATGTGTAGTGTATATTTGTTGATCACCCGAGCTCCCCACCCACCACGGAGTGTCATAAAAACTGTGCTAATAACAAGAGGATCTCCGACTTGCAGCACCAGGGGTACCTGGATGATATACTCCAGCAGAAAAATTAAAATTAATTAGTCTACCAGATTGGCCCATGAACCACCGCCTTCTGGCACAGGCATCTAGGCAAATTTATATATACAAAACAAATCATGTCAAATATTGTGTTCACATATAACCAAGCCAAAAAGTGATATAGCAATGAAATCTAGTGTTCAGGGCTCGGCATGACCAGCCGATTGGTTGAACCGGGCCCATTCAACCACCCGTTTAGGTGAAGTAAGGGGCGAACACTGTTCCTGGAACCAGTGCCCTCAACCACCAGACTCCCGTCCTCCACCGACACAGGGGCGCAACCCACGGTTAACAGGTTGGTGGACCAAATATACCCCCGGCCCACACGGGGGGTTGAAGAGCTCTTAGCGTTACCCAGCACCCACCACGAGGAGGTGGCTCTTCACGGGTGCCCTTTTGGCAGAGAAAGGGTTTTGTCGCTTCTATTTACAGTTTGTGTGACCACATATGTAAGAACTGTTCATTTATATCAGTTAGTGTGATGATCCGTCTAAGTTCTGTTCATTTCTTACGGTGAGTGTGACCAACCATCTAAATACTCTTCATTTATAACAGTCAGTGTGACCATATCAGTACTGTTCATTTCTGACAGTGAGTGTAACCATTCATTTCAGTTTCCTTTTTTAAAAAATATGTAGCAGGCCCATCCGTCCTCTTAACCTTCATTTCTAACAGTTAGTGTGACCATCCATTCACGTACCCTTCATTTCTAACATTTAAAAGCCAATCACCATTTGCCAGCATCTGTGGAATGTCAATGACGACACTGGTAACGTCTTCATCTCCACAGAAGCACATAGCAATGGGAAAGTGATGTAATAGTGGAAAAGAACATACCAAATGTGTAGACTGTACCGAGGGTCAGATGCACCAGCACGCCTCCCCCAGTCACTGAAAACGCTCGACCGGACCACATGATATCACTCCCACTGTGAACCGCAGACCTTGGCGATGCATTGCAACAGATGGCAGTTTAATGTATGCATCAATGAATATGAAACTATAATCAATTCCGCCATGATGGCATGAACTGCAGTCATGTGTTCCGCACAGCCATGATCGTTGTTTGACGCCTGGTTTGCTCTGATTATCTGATTAAGTTTTGGGGTTGATCAGTACCAACAATATGCTACATAGTTTCACCAGAGTTCTAAATCTCTAGGACATCCTTTTGGTTTACCTCTTGTCATTAGCGAAATGCATGTTCTACTAAAGTAATCACCCAGCACCCCCTTCCTTCTATGATTATATATTCATCGCCTTTAGATTTAGTGATACTCGAAAATTGCCTGAAACTTTCAAAAGTGTTTCAATTGGTTTCCACTGATAGTTTAATGATAATAATGAATGCATTGGACTGACTGACTGACTGAGTTTGGTTTTACGCCGCTTTTAGCAATATTCCAGCAACATCACGGCGGGGGACACCAGAAATGGGCTTCACACATTGTGCCCATGTGGGGATTCGAACCCGGGTCTTCGACGTGACGACCCAACGCTTGAATGCATTGGAAACAACTTGTATTGACGTATGAGAGTAACTGATGTGACAGTCATAAATCTTGAAGGACGATGAGATGAGACTGACTGACTGACTGAGTTTGGTTTTACGCCGCTTTTAGCAATATTCCAGCAATATCACGGCGAGGGACACCAGAAATGGGCTTCACTCATTGTACCCAGATGAGATGAGAAATGTCGAGGGTGATGTTTCTATAGTGCTGATACCACCGCTCTGTTTTACTTACATTCAACGGGCGTTGCATAACCTGCGCACTTCTCTTCCAACCCATGGCCATGTTCAGCTAACGTGGTTGGTGGCCGACGACGTTGACGCACACACCCTAAACCACATCCGAGATTAGTTCAGTTGGGAAAAGTTCTGTGGTAATATCGGGACATGCATGTCTGGAGGAAAGCATTGAAGACCAGTAAAGTTTACACGAGGCGTTGTCTTGAAAGATGATAACCTGACTTTTATCGTGTGCAGCACTGGCATTTGTCAGCAATATTATGATTTCAAACGGTCGGAACACAACGTACCCACCAAACATGGGGAGTACTGCATGTAGATGATTGGTAAACTGAACCGACACTTGCACTCTCGTAGCCTGATGCATGTTTGCAATAATATGAATTGCCGTTAGAGCTCGATTTCATAGAGCCTGGTTTTTAACATGCCGTCATCACGTACCTTTTTACTAAAACAACATCATTGTTGACTTTTTACTTCTAAAATGTATATTTCATTTTCCCGATTTTTTTGGCTTTACAAGAGTATATATTTTGACATGTTACATACTTTTCGCACATTTTTTTCTTCTGACATGAATACAAAACTATGTTAATACACTTGAATATACATTTTCATTTGAAGGGACGACTTGATATTGTGACACATTTGTCAACACAACAGACACGTGCCAAACATCAGTCCCAGCTGTGGCGGTGTAGGAGATGCAGTGTATACCATCAACTGTCGTCGTAGTCGGGTGGCAGGAACATCTCTTATTGTATGTCCCGTGTGTTTGTTTTATGTAAGAATCTATGTCCGATTGCACATTGTGGAAAACAAAGTTAATAGATACCAGTTGAATTACAACGTCAAAAGGGTTGGAAAGATATTTTAAGGTACATTTGACCTGTTGCTGAAGGAGCTACATCAGTTCACCATACGTATCTTGAAGCTTTTGCCATCAGGGGACTAAAAGCTTTGGTATATTAACACCCTAGAATGAGTATCATTGGGCAGTGAACTATTTTTTTAATAATGTCTATCGATTTATAGTTTAAACGAAATCAGCAAATGTGCTGGTGTACGATTGTAGTTTTGGTCCATCGCTTGAGCATCTGGTCTGTTACCTTCCGCCAGAGCTCTACAGGCGTAATGTCAATTAAACATGCCTGGGACACGACGGTGCATGTTTACCCCCGGTCGCGAACACCCGGTGTCATGATGAAATATATCCATCCATTCCTAGATAGGCAAAAAATATATGCAATGCTTATTTCTACAGAAAACATCTTTTTCTATTTTCTAGGACATTCTATTCAGTAATTTGGGTGTCTACGCTGATTGTTTTAGCTTGTAAAAGTTTTAAATGTAATCTTATTCAACAAAAGCATGTCGAATTATTCTTTGAGTACTGATATGACTTTCAGAGATCCATTTTTAATATTATCACAGCTATTTTTCCATGACACCAAACGGAATTAAGGATAGTTAAGGCTGGTTATTATTTTTAATATTCCAATTGAAAATGAAATATAGTAAGATAAGATGAGACTTACAGTTAAATTCGCTCCAAACCTTATAACGTACACTGCAGTTTTTGGCTCTTACGATGGAATCTGTACCGGGACGGTATATTCTCTTTAACAATTCTTACAGCATAACATGATTGAACAGTCGTACTTGTCCAAAACATCTACTGAATATGTCACTCAATGCAAATAACAAACATTGTTAAAACCAGACACATTCCTCCTGAGTTCCTCTGATCAGAGAAAAACCTCATTGTTAACAGAAGACGTCTAGACGTGTCACATACACTGTTTATCGTAATTCGTGACCAGCAGAAAAATATAATTTGTTATAGAACTGTTTTTACGGGGTCCAGGGAATATATATCTTCGAATGATACTCTACAGGTTCCATGTTACAAGGTCCATGGGGAACATTTGTATGTGTTGCATTCAGTATTCACTAAAGACATGTCATGCAACACGTGACTCTTCTCTGACAACATCAAGGATTGTTCCTATACATACCACATATGAAGATTCCACCCTATTGACAAGAAAATCAACTTTAATACACCTCATAATTCATCATATAATGTCGTAGTAAATGCAGAATATCACACATCTCGATTTATCAAAAGGATCATATTGTCTATCTTACTACCAAGGTACTCAGTCAGATGGTACTCGACGGACAGACATCACGCTGATCACATGTCTCGACTGACGCATTGCCAAGGGTAGGAGAAGATATAGAGCCGAACCCCGTTTATCCGGACATTTTGGATACACTCGGAAATCGCCCGGATAACGCCCGGTTAACTGGATCAAACAAGCAAAATGTATTGAAGATGTATATTGAAAATTTATTCATGTATGATACAATTACAATGTAGTTAATCCTAATCCTAATTAACATGTGTTTTCGTAACTGATGAGATGTTCTCACACCTGCCAAATCCTAATTAACGACTGAAGTGACACGCGTCCATAGCATTTTGATGGGTAATTAATCAATTCACATCAAACGCCTGCCGAGAGAGATGGAAAATGAATCCGTCCGGATAACAGGATCAGTTTTCAACGGAAATCTGTGGGAATGGTTTGAAAACTCCCCGTCCGGGTCCGGAAGCGCGGCTAAGCGAGTACAATTACTGACGGCAAGTTTCGTTTCACCTAAAAATCGCCCGGAAGGTGGGGTTTCCGAATATACGGGATCCGAGGAAACGGGCTAATTCCAACTAGTAACGTTGTCCGAGTGTTATGTAATGTCCAGCAGGTCACTAGGTCTGTTGGTCTTTACTGTTCTTCACACTGAACGTTGTTATGAGGAGCAAACCTGTCAATACAAATACAATACATCAATACAAGAAGGTAAGTGAGGTAAAAAGTAAACACAAGTACAATATAAGTTATAACATTTTTATACAGTAGTTATCACAAGCCAGTCATCATGCGAGATGAAGGGACCACACGCTTGTGACATTGCTTTATGAAGATGACATATGGCGGTGTAGCATATGTTAACACAGTGTCGCTATTGCGTTACATACAGTGATTTTATAAAGATTCAAAAGAGGCTCGTAACAAAACAGAGTGTGGGTTCGTTTCCAGAAACATAATCACACCCACACACCCACACACCCACCCCAACACCCTCCACCCCACCCCAAAGTGGTAGAATCTGTTCTGTACTTTACGTAAGAGTTTGCTTTTCAAAGAGTGGTGGGGAAAGTTGCTGTAATTGGATTACGCATTACGTCGAGAAAAACGTGACGATCATAGTTTTACCCTGGATAGTTTTGCCTGGGACTATCTAGGAAGCTGGCGGCTAGGTGAACATTCTCACTTACTCAAGAAGGAAAAGCCTGCAATCATGCTAAACATTCCAAACCAGCCAATCTGTGTCTTGAGCTGAGACGCCAAGACTGCCCCCAGTGGTGCTGTGATGGTCTGCAGTGTAATGTGGAATCAGCTTGTCAGTTCACAGGAAGACACAGGCATTACACCAACATGACAGACAATCTTTTGCAAAGGTTGCGGAGCTCATCCATCGTCGGGATTTTTCAGTTAACTAACTGCTGTTGGTATCATGTCCACAATTTATGTCTTCCGCGTCACAAATGTAACAACCGAGGTTCAATGAGTTGTAAAGAAGAAAGATTGTCCTGTGTCATTATTCTACAGTAACGTTCCAGCTCCATCACGAAAGACTGAATAAATCTATTACACCTTGGAAATAAAATAGTGATACATGCTGTTTTAAATTGCCTATATTAGCCATATTTAGTCTTACCTGAGATGTGAACAACAGACCATAATTGATGGGGTAATGCTTCTCCCCGAACGATCTGGCCGCAGCGACGGAGAAGAGCGCATAGTTCCCCGACAGGGTGCCGAACAGGAGACACACATAGATGAAGTACAGAGGCTCCTTGCCCAGACGAGTGGCGTTGAATGTGATGATCAGGCAGGAGAATGACGTGCACAAACACATCATGGCTGTCTGGGGAATATATATCTAACATTGAACATAGGAGCGTGTCTCGCTTCGAAAGACCGTTTTAGATAGTAATAGGGTAGGATCTAGCGAGACACGCCCATATGGCCTACAGAAAGGGTGTAGAAACACAGTACCTGTATAAGCTGTTTATGACGGAGTTTTACAGAGAACATTTTGAAAATTCAAGATAGTGCCAAAACAAGTCGTGCAAATTACCTCTTTCCTAATCAGAGATGCAATTATAAACCTCTCTGAATAAATTCTAATCCCAAATGTAGTTTCCTTTGTCCAAATAAAAAAAACATAGAGCTTCAATCTTTCTGTGAGTGGCGTTTCACAACAACAAATGTAACCTTTCCAAGAGCAAGAATCTACATGCATAATGGATTGATTCAGACAATGTAAGTCGCACATCCACCTATGCCAAACTAACCTTGAATGAATACCGGTCTGCAAGGAATCCCCAGAACATCCGTCCTGAGAAGTTGAAGACAGCCGCGAAGGCTCCAGACACTGCCAGGAACACATCATTTTGGATGAATGTTTGCCCGTAATCCTGGAAAGAAGACAACCAGATACTTAAATAAAAACGAACGTGGTATTTGGAAGACTTTCTCTTTGATTTTGGTATTTGTGACATCATTGTACATTGTATGATTCAAAAATAGACAATCCAGCAAAGAAAACAAACCACTTATACGCAATATGTGCGAATGTGTTCACCATCGATCTTTCTACACTCAATTGAAATGTTATTTTGCTTTGCGTCTACGAATATTCGAGCAGCTACTACCTACACTGGCATCTAATCTAATATTGCAAAAAAATTATAGGTACAATCAAGCATGCTCTATGTTTCCAGCTAGCGCCAAGCGACAGTTGCTAGCAAATTGTATGACTGGGTCCCTGTATATGGCAGATGTAAGTATTATGGCAGATGTAAGAATAACATTTCCTGTTGTGGCCCATCTGTGAAAACACTTGCATCTGATGCAGTTATCCCGTGTCAACGTAAAATTGGTCTTTGTTTTGAACCGCGGCCGCTTTTATTCAGAGACCAGCTTGGTTTTACGTTTATGTGTTATAAACATGGAAACATGGTCGTGTATTTCTTGAGGGAACGACCATGTACCTATCTGCGGGAGGCTGGTCGACTCTGCTTAAATGTCTCCCGGACAAACACATCTAAAAGAAGAACAGTGAACAATTTACTCTCTCAATGGACGAACAACATATTTCTGAATTTTCCACCAGTCGCCAGGTTACCTTGTAGAGTCCCGCCAAGAAGACCACACCCTGACCGTTCAGCAGGAAACACACCCATAGTGTGTAGAACGACCGAGTCTTTAACATCTGCAAGGGACTCATACTGTCATCGACACTGCCAATAAAGCATGTTTAAATCAGTTAATTACAGGTGATAGTTAGGCGTACCTGACGGTCCATTGGGCAGATCAATTTACGTGGAGGGTGAATGCTGCCAATGTAGCTGTCCTGCGGGCGTGAGGTATCACGCGGGTGACCATCCCGTGGCCTCCGCAACGACAATAATATGTTAAGATAAACATTTGAAAGCGAGGCAACTTCATCCTACCCGCTGGACGTAGTCGTTGACTATTAGCCCTGGCATTGCCTGACCCTTATTTACAGTTGAAACAAAATTGTGTTTATAAACACCTGATCATGAATGCTAGAAAATGATTATGTGTTCTCCATGTGCATGAACTACGCCAGTGAGTATGGTGCCCGAACAAACACACACACACGCATACCATACTCGTGCAACCAGTGAAACTCGACTAGTATCCTAATGGACATTCAGGAGACAAATAAATGCTGAATTACTGGTATTTAGCTTAATATGATGCTACTATGTCCTGTAGTGTACTATGAGTAATATATACTGAGTCAAAAAAGAAACTTCACATTCTTTCTTCAGGGCACTATAAAAGAACAAGAGATGGTTAGAAGGTTAAATTGTCATTATTTCATTGCTGAGATCTGCGTGATGTAATCGATACACTGACAGTGCCAGGGAAAGAACATCGCGGTAGAGTTTATCATGAACTGTTTAACTCTAACTTACCAAGCACTAAATGGAACTGCTCCACTTGGGCATACCGTTCATCTCCCAAGCCCTCTGAGGGTAAACCTGTTCATCTCACCCTTCGTCCTCATCGGAGGTGACGTTGTGCCCACAGCAGAGGATGTTGATGAAACGGCGCCACCACCACCTCAGGAACATTCTCAGATCTGCCGATCAATCACTTGCAATGTTGTGGTATTACCTGACCATACAGACTGCAAACTCAAAACTTTCACGGACATAGATCCTTCAAAAGTCATGGTCGAGCTCTAACTTACCAAGCACTAAATGGAACTGCTCCACTCTTCTCCAAGCCTGTCTCACCCTACGTCCTCTCTGCCTACAGACATCAAATCCTTCAAACATTCAGCTGCTTGCCTGTCGAACTCTCTCCCTACAGACATCAAATCTGCTCCAACTCTCTCAAGTTTCAAATCTCATCTAAAGACATTTCTTTTTCTTCGCTACTGACTGTCTTGTGTTTGCGCTTAGAGCATGGCCTAGTGTTGTGGAGTCAAGCGCATTACAAATGATCTATATTATTAATATTGGCCCACGATTTGGACGTCGAGAATGGAGATTGGCAGCCCGCAACCGATTTCGAAAGGTCTGTGAGGACAGTCGACCTCTAAACATCTCAGCCCTGGTTCGTGTAGCCGGCAGAAATCTGTCACGTAGGTGACGTAGGACGATTTGACTGTCTTCTGCTCGTGACGTCACACGTGGACGACCCGACCTTGGGCGATCAGAAGTGGTCCCAGTTTGTTGTAGACGACCTCGCAAGTCATACACAGTACGACGGCTGCATCCCATTGCTCTTGCGACGTCAATAACTGATCTTCCCGCTTGCAACATGCCAACGGCACGTTCACGTTGCACATTTGACAATCGTGGCATTTCAGGTACCGTTAGAACTGTGGTTTAAAAGTGTTTTTTCAATTCTTGAGGCCAGTGCAAACACGTGCATATGAAGAAAACTTCGATGCGAAGATCTGAAAACCTGATTTGGCACTAACGTCATTTGCACGAGGAATGGATGGGTCTGAGTGTGTTTTGCTAATGTGTTTCTAGAGTCGAAAGATAGGGATCCCATTTCGGATACATAGATGTATCATCAGAGAAAAATTATTCATTATTTTTCAAATTACATTTGTGAAGTTTCTTTTTTGACTCAGTATATATGGATAGTTTGACACATCTGTATATGTGATCGTCAAGCAGATAATGCAGAATGCCTACCCACTTCCTTCTTTTGGGTCCACACACGTGACGTCTCCATCATCGCTGTTGTTGTTGGCTGTGGTGTCGCTCCTGTCGATGGCTTTGCTGTTGGAGAGTTCAGGTTCAGATATAGTCTTGACTTCCTAGAACACGCACATCAGACAAATCAGACACATGAATGGTGGCATTGAAAGAGGAAATGAATCTCGAGCAATAGAGCATTAGCAGCAGTTTTAAGAGTATTTCCGTATGAGACTTGCCTAGTGGCCCACACGTGCCCAATAAGGAATGAGTGCGTGAGTTAATATTTATAGTCACATCGGCAATATTACAGCCATATCGTGACGAGAACAATTAATCATTATATTATAGATCAATAAAATTAGAAATGAAAACCCTGTTGACGAAGAACAGTAAAACTACTAGTGTATCACAGATATCCATTTAAAACTAGTAATTAAATCTAAAACAGTTTAACTAGAAATGACAAGACAATGTAAAACAGGCTATAGATCGCCAACAACTGAAGGTAGATCACCCTACTAGGGACCATGGGGACTTACAGTACATTTGCGTCCTGCATGATTCCCTAGCTGCATTTCCAACATCTCTTCAGCTGTTAGCAATTTAGACACAGTTAGCCATACATCAAAACACATATTCTACGATTAAAAACGTGGAAAGTTTTGATTTACTTAGAATGTTTTGGGACGCCCGTTAAAGAAAAAAAAAAAAAACACATGTTTTGCAACATTGACATGACAAACCCATTCATATTTTGGCTTTAGCTAGGAACAGAGGACAAAACCAGCATATTTTGTATTGTCCCCTCACTGTTAAGGAGTGAGTGAGTGAGTTTTAAGCCGCGTTAGTGGTATTCCAGGAATGTCATCAGACATGGGCTTTACACTCTGTACCCATGCCAGGAATCGAACCTGGGTTTTCTCTGTGACGATCGAACGCTTTAAGGACGAGGACGAGGAAGCTCCTGACTGCTGAGTACACTGGATGGTGTTTAAATTCCGGCAACCCTGTGTTCCACACATCACATCGTTAAATGATGAGAAGCTAATTTACATACTGCTATGACCCACCTACAACGTACTTCAGTCACACCTTTAACAACACCGGCTTCCCGAGATGTATTCTACACGCAAAAGAAAACTGCAGTTTGCAGGTGATGATAATGGCGATGTACACGATGATGTTAATGGCTGTGCCGACGATGGACGTGGCGCCGTGGTAATGATGAACAGGATGATGTGTATACCCGTGGCCTACCTCCTGTGTCGGGGGGTCAGCGATGAGGAGGACGCCCACCAGCTGCATGGTGGCGTATATTCCCCCTGTCAGCACGAACACCCAGGGTACCCTCTGTAGCAGCTCCGGCTGACTGAAGTAGCTGAACACAAGACGAGGAGGGAGAACCACAAGGGCATTGATCTAAACCAACCCATGCTTGTCGTAAAACTGATATTTGTAACTAATCGGACTAGGCCTGGTGGATGCATTTCATTTCAATTTCGTAATGAAGTCACTTGACTGCCTGGAAGTATTTTCGACCCAAGTCACCCTGGTATAGTTACTCTTTCGTGTCGTCTTAGTTTGATTCTGGTAAACAAGCTTGTTATCCACGAGATCTTACATTCTCCTACATTCATTCATGCATAACGCTTTTTTATTTTACGAAACATTGCTTCCACACGAAATACCTCTAAATGAGATCAGACAATAGTTTGAAGTAGATATTGCTGCAGTGCAATCGCAACACATAAAAAAATTGTGACTTCAGCCTCAAATGACATGACTAATCTCTCTTCCAATTCAGCTGTATTTCTGAAGAGCCTGTTTATACTGCGAAAACTGCAGAGGGGGAGGATGTTGGTGGCTGAAAAAAACTCACTGTTCGCCGTTGACGGTGACATCCGGTGACAGATTGTCTGGGTTGATGAAGGCTGTCTGGATCAGGTTAAAGATGAAGGCTCCTCCTCCGAATCCTGCCACCACCAGACCCCCAGCTAGACCCTTCCGTTCTGGCATCCACTGACAACCATACAGGTACACACATTAGTGACTGAGTTTGATCTAACACCGACCAGTGATTAAGTTGTCACATATCAAGTTTAAAATTCTGAACCAAACCTGTAAATTCCCAGAGTCATTCTGTGAAAAAATATATAACCAATAAGGGCGAGATTGGAATCGAAAGAGTGCCTTCGGAATGAAGTTTATGGCAGCGTATTATGGGGCCATTTGATCCCAAAGTCAAAATTATCACCTTCATGGCACATCCCACTGGTAGCGAATAGGCGACACCGCATCCAATTCCGTTCATGACGCCGTACGTGAAAATGATTGCGATGTAGGAATGTTGCACCGTAAAGTACGTCAATATCACGCCAGCACTGAAAGAAAAACATTGGCGAAGCTTGTTCCCGCGTTGCCTCAGTAAGCCAAAGCCTCAACTCTCAGGGTAACTCACATACCAAGTGGTGTAGATATTTTAGGGTTAAGGGTTACATCAAATTCAAAATGGCGGTACACATCAGGAACGGGCTTTACGCATTTACCCAAGCTGTGGTTCGAACCCGGGCTCACAACCTGACGAGCGAACGTTATAACTTTACTACATCACATCTCCTTCATAATGTTAATTGTAAACAACGTACGAATAGAGTCTAGGAGGATGCTGTTTGTTGTCATTCAGTTGACTCTCTAAGAAAACATCACCATCAGATCCCTTCAATACTTCACAGACAACAGAGCAGGTGGACGTATAGACATGAAGAGAAAAAATAGTTCTTTCGATTAAATTTCTCAAACAACCGCCTGTCTAATCTCGAAATTTCTTAATCACGAAGGATGGGTATCATCTTCTCCATACCTCTATAAGACACTCCATGTGTGTTTATGTTTATAAATGTCATAGTGGTGAGGAAGTATCAGATGTTTTACAAGGCTACCTCATGAACCAGGACCCCAACAGCACTGTGAGTTTCAAGCCCAGGGTTCGGCTGATGATTCCTCCAAGAAAGATGGCTGCTCCTTGTCCCATCAGGCAGCAGGCGTAGATCCACACACTGTCGCCGTAGTCCCATAGTCGAGGTTGGATGTGTTGTTACGTAAGTATGACGTCAAGTACGGTGTCAAGTTACCTATACAATCACAATCTCTTGTTATGGTCTGATTTATACAGATGAATTTATATGAAGCTCAACCAACTTTTCCATATGATAAGTACAAACACACTACAGAAGGTCATGTTGTTGTGTAAACTTAGACATACTCAGCACCATGTTGCTGTGCAAGCTTGAACATGTAGAATCAAACCATGGGAATATGATATGAATAAAGAATAACAATAGAAGCTATGATCGGCTCGTCAGTTTAATAAGAAAATATTGTGTTAAATCCCTGGTTGCGCTGCATTCAGAAATAATACAAATCTATTACTTCTGTAACGAATATCAATAACATGAAGTACGGAGTCAAGTTACGGAAACTAAGTTGAACTTTAAATATCAATAATGACGGAAAGTATGATAACCATGACTATGCCATCTATCTGATTCTTACACAGGTCTCAAATAATGATTGTTTCTGACCACAGTATTACGTGATGTAGGTAACAGGTAACAGGTAACATCTGTACGTCTCCCCACAACCAAGCGTTGCCAGTATTGGGAGGAGATACATCAACATATAAATTATCGGCATTGGAATACTTCGTGGAGTGCCTGCGTCAGATCCTGCAAACTTTGACCTCGAGGATCTCCAGCTCGAACTTGGAGTCCAAGATAGTCCAAAAGATATTTGATGGAGTTCGTATCGGGGCTCCTTGTGGCCATGGTAATGTTTCGATAGCTTTGTTGAGCATATAGACAATGGTGACTCCAGAATTGTGAAGTCTAGCAGTGTCAATCATGAACATCGGACGACGGCAAGGGATGGTCATGAAATTGAGACAAGACGGTTGTTTCCAGTTCTTCCTGTTGCCCATTAACTGTCACAGATAAAGTAGTCAAATCCAAGTTGTGGTCATGTGAAACGCAACCCCACACCATCACTGAGCCACCACCAAAGGGTTCAGCTGCACGGATTGTCTTCTGGTGATATGGTTCGCCACGACGTCAGCATACGCGACAACGAAAACAGAAGTTAGCAACTTCCATCTCACCAATGCAGCTAGCGACACGTCTTCCTAGTTGAAGACCTGCACCACACGTTCTTGTCTGTGCCTGTCTGTGAGGCGGGAATGTCTAATCGGATCATCAGTATCTGGTTGGAGAGTCAGACTCAATTGCTGATACAGGTCTTCAGCAAGGGTAATAGGATTGGGTCTTTCTGGACCTTCCGTCATCACGGTCGTTAGTCTTCTTCGATCTTCCCGGCCTTGGACGATCCTATACTTCACCGACATTTTGCTAATAAGCGCTTGGTTAATATAATATTCAAGTTGGTACCGACTTTTGGACACGACATCTCTGCGTCATGCATGCCAATAACTTGACATCGAATATTTCCTGAAAGTCTTTGTCTTGCTAAGGGAATATTTGGTTCTGTTGTCTTTGAAATATGTTCAGAAAACTGTAGTCTACATTGTGCAACTAGTAAATTTATACCCCGATGTGCTTGGCCTCTTTGCATCACGTGAAACATGCTCTCAGCAGCTTGCACGACATTGTGTGTAGAGCATGTGTTTTCCGTGTGTGATTCCATGTTTATGCCAGATTTCTATAAACCGCCTAGAATCCAGGCTGTGCTTAAGTAATTCTTATGTGTATGCAATAGAGGTAAACAGTAACTAGGTGGTAGATTTTATGACTTACACGACTGACTGACTGAGTTTGGTTTTACGCCGCTTTTAGCAATATTCCAGCAACATCACGGCGGGGGACACCAGAAATGGGCTTCACATATTGTGCCCATGTGGGGATTCGAACCTGGGTCTTCGGCGTGACGAGCCAACGCTTTAACCATTAGGCTACCCCACCGCCCTGACTTACATGATATGTACAGGGGTTATCATGATCCGCCGGTAACACAGGTACTTGCATATCTCCATTACTCAGGAGCTCGTCGTTCGCGAGGGTACAGTCGTCAACCCGCCCTTGCAATATCCGTTTTAAGTGGGTCACATGCGTATTTGCCTTCATCTAACAATAACATGTCGTCAAAAACGTATGTAAAGAACACGATAAGCTATTTTCAAATTGCCGGACCAACATTGTGGAATCAAGTCCCACAACATCTGAGATCTAACCACGACCTGGACTCATTCAAATCACAGCTGAAGACACTACTTCTGTGAAGCATACAACAACTAACTTTCAGTCAGAGTCTCAAGCGCTGCAGAGTAATGTATTCTGGATATACCCCTTAATACGTTTTTCCATAGATAGATAGATAGATAGATAGATAGATAGATAGATAGATAGTAGTGAAGCATAGTTGTATAACATTGACTGTGTACACACAACAAAATAGGACATCAGATGTACAGTGGCATATCACGAAGGTGATTGAGTAGGATTTATCTTGTACGCCATGTGACCTATAAAAAGCAGTACAGACCAAAGAGGCTTGCGCAACTCACCGAAGGAATACACGGTGCCCAGGGTGAGATGAACCATGAGACCTCCCAACACCACCAGGTACGCCCTCCATCGCCCGCACGCCATTGCTCCCTGCAGATCAGGAGACAAGGGGTATATCGTTAAATATGTAATATCACAGCAGCCTTACAGGGACCGTGTGACCGGGATTACAACATACCACACTACTGCATACTAGTGTCAAAGGAAAGGGCGTTTATAGTGTGTTGGCTTTACCTGGCCAAGGTATATTTTTAGTCAGTTTAGATCAGATTTCTTATTACATACATCCAGCTGGCGAGAATATTTACAGTTCCTCCACTCGTCCAGTGTCGTTGTAGTGTCCCGGTTTACTTACAACCCTTGCATTTTTATATATTGTTTTCAATTTGCTTTATTTGCTGTTGAATACATGAACATGAAAACTGTACAACAGTATGACATATCTTGGTACACAAGCTGTGTGTAAACCCTTGCATTTAACATGAGTTCAACAAATGACTTTGGCGGCGAAAGAGAAATGAGTTGCAGTAGTCAACGAGATGTGATATAGACTTGGTGAATGTAAGATGTCAACACGGGATAATTGTATGAATGAACTATTAAAACTCAATGACGACACCAGAATATGATATACAGGGTATGATGGCGTGATGGTGAACAGCGGGAGGGGTTCCTGTATATCCTATTTAACACAGTCGGGGACATTCTATAAAAATGACAGTATATATATATATATATATATCTATCATGAGATATATAGTTTAACAGTACAACAGTTTGACAGTACAATTGAAACACCTCACTGAGATTTGTATTAGTCGCTGAACGTCAGATAACTACAGATTTTGCTAATGATTGGCCAAGACGCCATCATGTCATTTGTCATCCAAATGCATACCTGTTAATTGATGTCATGTGAATTCACCTCTATTCCCAAGACTAAGGCATGGAACCGCTCATTCCGCCGGCACCTACCAGGTCCAAAGAAAACCTTAAAAAGACCGAAGTGCAAACTTTTAAAAAATCCACGAGTTTCCAATTAGTCTCCCACTGGCTACTCCTCAGCAGTGCAGATTTTTCTGTAACGGCTACGGTTGCCTGGCGATGTCAAAGGTTAAGGTTGGAATTTACTACAAGAAGAAATATGTGCCTTATTGTAATTGTCCAACAACCCCTTCGCTAAATATTTTGACGAACTATATCTAACTGGTTAAAGTGTTAATAATGATAACAAAAATACTAAACAAATATCACCCCTCAAGGAAGAATAAGAGAAGATGTCAGTATAATCTAAGTGTAACACTCTGAACCTGCACAACAGGTGTCTCTGTAATGGAGATGGGGTTATTTTCACTGAACGCCTTGGGAAAAAGTAAAATAAGAAACCCTGAGTGAAACCTTTCCTCCACGAGCAGACTTGTTACCATGTAAACACACCTCCTTTCTGGTCACCTGACTGACACGACTGGAAATTCAAATCTTGATTTGAAAATAGAGGAACACATTTTGAAAATCTATGTTTTGGAGACAGGCGTTGCCCTGAAGGACCATTACCCTAGTTGATCTGCATGTTGACGATTGCGAATCAATTGTACTCGAGTTACCTCATGCAAGTTTTGCAACAATATGAGTTCGATTTCGTAGAGCTGGACTTTCGATCAAGTGACATGGTAACGGAGTCGAGCACAAACATCTTGGTTTTGTTGGTACCTGTCCGTGTCTCTGCTGAACACAAATTGAAACACGAAACACAATGACCACTGCAAACTGATTAAGATTAAGGAAATCGCAACTGTATTATCAGCAGAATCAATATCATTGATGAACATAACTACTACAGAGATCAATCGACGTTCCATGGAGATGCCAATAAAGGCACCCTAAACATGTGTGTGGTGCTAGTGGATTCGGCACGTCCAGACTATATGGGTTTTGTTTGGTGTTATGTTTTACAGACACAACGATTCCTGCATAGGGTATTTGTCTTTATTACGTATGTTTGTACTTATATACATCATTGTGGGCTACGTGTTTCGTTTGTATTTCATGATTCTCTAGGGCTTGTTCTTCCCTCACCAGTATACACGAGTTACAAATTTTGTACATCAGGTGTTTTTCGGCATGAATGGATTAATATACTTGTACACTGGAATTATGTATTCATATTTGACGAAACGACTTGATATATGACACATATGTGCCAACACAACAGACACGTGCCATACATGAGGCCCATCTGTGGCAGTGGAGGAGAAGCAGTGTATACATCTCCTGTTGTATGCCCCGTGTGTTAGATTAACGTCCGATTGTATAGTTCATGACACAAGGAACAATAAACGCCTTTCCCGATTACTGTGGAGTTCAGGCCACAAAAATCAGTTGAACTGTCGGGAAAAAGGTTCAGAAAGATATTCCTTTTGACTATTAAAATGGTTGTTGAGAGAGCTATCAGTTCACGATGCTTATGTCGAAGGTTTTTGCCACACTCGTAAGGGAATTAAATCGTCTTGTACAATATCACTCTACTATCAGTAGAAGAGACCTGAAAATATAATGTTTGAAATATGTATCGATTTTAGTTTCATACGAAATTGGTAAATGTGCTAGGCAGGATTTGTGGTCCAGTTTGTCTACCACCGCCGCTAGAGTACGGAGTACTATATATGGGGTCTAGGAAGGGCCAAAAATGTTCCATTCATATCTGACTTTCCTACGTCCATGCAAAACCTGTAAGTCGAGCATTCAGCTTTCACAAAACATACATCCTACAACACGTGACTCCTCCATGAGATTATATTCAACCTTTATACATTAATGAGAATATGCACAAGTGTCTAACGTTCTTGCCAATGCATTTAGGATTGTTTCTACATATACTCCAACAAAAAATAAACAGTTCAACATATCGACAAGGCAAACTATTTTTATAAATCTCATAAATCATAAAAAAATAATGTCATAGTCATAGCCGTGCACCAAACATCTTGATTTATGAGACTGTTAGATTGTCCATCTTTCCATCCAGGTGGTACATGACAGAAACAGACCAGGCTCAGCACGTGCACGTGTCCATGCTGACACAGATCCAAGTATATGATGGGCGCGTAGTAATATTGTTCCAGAGTTACATCGTTGAGCAGGTGACTATCTGTTGGACTTTACTGTTCTTGACATTGAAGGTTGAGATGAGAAGCAAACCTGTCAATACAAATAAAGTAACTACAAATAAAATAAGATAAGTGAGGCAAAAATTAAATACAGGAGTAATGTAAGTTTAGAACATTGTATACAGTACGAAGTAAAGTTATTACAAGCTAGTCATAGTGCAAGATGAAGGGAACGCACGTTGTGACAAATCTTATGAAGCTGTATGTCAGTGTTCAAATGTTGTTTACCCGTGAAGCAGTGGTGGGTAATGAATACACAATGCCCTTTCCCTGGATCTAGCATTACGTCAAGACCAAAGGCCGTGTTAAGATCACCTTCCACCCTGGATACCCAGCCTAGGATTGGTGTGGTCACTGTTGAGGCTAGGTGAACATTCTCACTTACTCAAGAAGGAAAAGGCTGCAATCAAGCTAAACATTCCAAACCAGCCAATCTGTGCCTTGAGCTGAGACGCCAAGACTGCCCCCAGTGGTGCTGTGATGGTCTGCAGTGTAATGTGGAATCAGCTTGTTAAAATTAGTTCATAGGAAGACACAGGCATTACACCAACAGGACGCGTACTACATTATACGTAGCGGAGCTAACCCATCCTCAGCATTTATCTATTTATTAACCAATCTAACAATCTATAATCTTCCATATCCCAAATGTAACACCCGAATCTAAATGATTTGTGATGATGATTGTTCTGTTTAATTATTCAATTGTCAGCAATATCCCAGCTCAACCGGCCTGTAAAAATCAATATACACAATCTTGGAAATCTCACATGCTGGCACGTGCTATTTTAAGGAACCTTAAGTCCCGTCTTACCTGAGATGTGAAGATGAGTCCAAAGTTGATGGGGTAGTGCTTCTCCCCGAACGATCTGGCCGCAGCGACCGAAAAGAGGGAGTAGTTCCCCGCCAATGTCCCGAAAAGGAGACACACGTAGATGAAGTACATGGGCTCCTTTCCCAGACGGGTGGAGTTGAATGTGATGATCAGGCATAAGAATGACGTGCACAAACACATCATGGCAATCTGAGGAAGTTTTGTTTAACATTAAAGAGATAAACAACGCTACAAAAGCGGATAATGTAACTGATGTATTTCATGGAGACATGTTTTAGTTTTGTGAAGGAGCCTACAAAAAGTCTGTACAGACACAAAACCTATATAAAACTGACGATGGCGGAGTTTTTCAGAGAACTCAGGGAGCTGGGTTTCTAAGAATACTTGAATACAATGACAGAAGACAGTTGTTAATTGTCTCTATAATTTAAGAGATTAACACATACAGTTGCCAAAGACTACTATGTATTGATTAATGATTCGAAAAAATCTTTTAAGAAATCAAAATGTGTTGTACTCTTAGCGCCTTGTAATTTATAATATGGGACTGATTGTCATTAGTGTTTAGTACAGACAGTCATGTATATTACAAATATTTCTATATTCAAATCATCTTTCCAACATTCTAATATAATCAATCAGTAATGGGGTCATTTTGAACAATCAAGATGACACCAAAAGAGGTAGCGAAAACCACCTCGTTCTTTAACAGTGATCTAATGTTAACCATTGTAGTTGTTAATCCATATAATAAACGCCATGTGTCTTAGAGTGGATTGATACAATGTGACGTCGCACATCCACCTATGCCAAACTAACCTTGAAAGAATACCGGTCTGCAATGAAGCCCCAGAACATCCGTCCTGAGAAGTTGAAGACCGCCGCGAAGGCTCCAGACACTGCCAGGAACACATCATTTTCGATGAATGTTTGGCCGTAAGCCTGGGAAACAGAAGCTCAAATATCAACCAACGAGGTATATGGAAGTGCTGATTGTCGGACATTGGACCATGGACAGATGTTCCGTTATCAAAGTTCAAACAAGCAGTGTATGATGTCAAAGACAAGTTTTGGATAAGACTTTTCCATCAAATCTTATATGTTTGAAGCGTCATTGGAAATAAATGGCGTCATATCGTAGATCCATTTTATTGATGTTCATTAATAGCATTGATGTCTAAAATCAAATAATCCTTGTGTAAACGACATCATCTCACTATGATCTCAGAATGGTATACAGGTATAAATACTACAGGAGATTAATGACTTATCTTACTGACTGGTTCACAACAGAATCTATATAATACACGGATGTTCCAAAATTTAATCTCCACGTGTTGCATATAACTAGCTTTACTCAACTAAATCATGTTTTGTCAATACCCATTCTACAAAGTGATGAAAAGTGAAAATAGAAAAAATCTGAACGAATATATTTCTCTTGTTCTTATTTGTTGTCGGCTGTATTTACAAAATAACCTTGGAGTAAATTTGCAGGTGCTATAAATATGGACATGTGTATTTGTTGAAGGAACAACCATGTAATATTCTGTAGAAGGCTGGTGCATTACGTTTAGGTTTCTGCCTGACATACATATAGGAATTAAAAAGCCAACGAATTCCGTTCCTCAACACCACAATAAGACCTAGAACACTGCCACTGAGCAATTACAACTCTCATATGGACGGACAAAATATTTTTGAATCTGTTTTCCATACCTTATAGAGTGACGACAGGAATACCACACCCTGACCGTTGAGCAGGAAACACGTCCACAGAGTGTAGAACGCCCGAGTCTTCAAGACCTGCAGGGGACTCAGACTGTCATCGACACTGCCAATAAACCATGTTTAATTCTTATAATCACAGATAACAGTCTTACACAAACTATCAATCAATAGTTTCCCGAGTGATGGAACTGAAGCAACATATATACAAGGGGGAAATAATAAATGAGCTTCATGTGTAGTGATGTGAAAATCACGACATAATTATTTAAATAATTGTTTTATAGGATATTTATACAGCGCACAATCCAGGCACGTAGTGCATGCTCAAGGCGCTGATATTTTTATAAATTATTTTTATAATTATCTGTCATTCGTCTGATCAATATTTAATCATAACAAACCCTCACCGACAAAGCCTGGTACCAGGAGGCAGAGAGACACGCCCAAGGTAAGGGTTAGTTAAACAACACTAACATTGTTAAAACGGGTGTGAGCACCATTTGCGTTGAAGTAGACGAAGTAGCGGTGGAGAATTGTTAACACCAGATGACATGTGGTCTGTAATTCAAAGTGTAAACACCCTTAGTGTATTCTGTGGGTGAGCGGTCCTGGGCTGTTACAACACGTGCAGATTGCGGAAGGGGGTTATCCGTCAGCAATGTGAAGTTACATCCATACATTTGCACAAAAGGCCGAACGTGATCCCGAACGATGTTGTCTTTGGAGCATATGCCATTTAAAACAACTGACGACCTCGGCTGAAGCAACGTTCCAATGGACGCCTGTTGACCGTGCACGACCATCAGAATTGCCCAGAGGAAACGTCTGCAAATAGTTTACCATTCTGGTCTTGCTTTCGGAACCTCGAGTGCTGATGACACCAAGTTAAGCGTACCTGGCGGTGATCGCACGCACAATGGGCGTACTGATGTACATCGGGGCAGATTTTGTGAATGTATTTGTCATGCTGACGTGATATCTCACGTGGGTGACCGGCTCGTGGCCTCTACAGCAATGAAATTGTTTTGATGAACATTTTCAAAACCTCAGCATATCCATTTTCAGCAAACCGTGGCATTGTATGAACGATATTTACAGTTGGAACAAACATGTTTTTATGCACAACTCATCATGATTGCCAGAAAATCATGAAGTGATGTTTCTGTTCATGAGCAACGCCCATCAGCACCATACTCCCAACAAACACACAAACATCCAAATTCGTACAACTTGTCCAGACAACCTGTGTATTGAACTTCATATGAAACACTGTTGCCCTTTCCTTCATTGGACGTGATATAAAAGGACAACATCTGTATGCTTGATAATTTAATGCAGATAATGCAGAAATGCCTACCTACTTCCTTCTTTGTTATTCACAGTCGTGACATCTCTGTCATCATTGTTGCCGTTGTTGGATGTGATGTCGCTCATGGCGACGTTGTTGCTGTTGTCGAGTCCAGAATCAGACAAAGTTTTGACTCCCTACAACACGCATATGAATGATATTAGGAATGTAGAAAGAGCAAACACAGTTATATCGTCACATGTTCTGCAATACATACCTACATAAAGTGACTTCAGCCAGTAGTGGAGCACAAAACCAGCACATACGTTATGTTTCACCCCTCCCTACTAAGGAGCGAATGAGTGGGCATGATTTTAGCAATATTCCAGCAATATCACGGCGGTGGACACACGAAATGGGCTTCACACATTATACCCATTTAGGGAATCTAACCCGGGTCTTCGGCGTGCCGAGCGAACGATCTAAATACGATCTAAATTCTTCATATAGGGAAATAGTGTAAAGCCCATTTCCATGCTGTTATGAACCGCGTGCAACCCGACTCGGACATACTTCTTGCTTCTATGAATTCTTCAAGGAAAAGATGACCACTGTCTGCTTAATGACACTTGGCAGTGTACGTGAGGACGAAGTGACAGTGACAACGATTATTAACGACTGTTTAATGGTGATGGGGGTGTAAAGGGTATGGTGCATTGATGAGCACGGTGATGGTGTAACCCCTTGCCTACCTCCTGTGACGGGGGGTCAGCGATGAGGAGGACGCCCACCAGCTGCATGGTGGCGTATATTCCCCCTGTCAGCACGAACACCCAGGGTACCCTCTGTAGCAGCTCCGGCTGACTGAAGTAGCTGAACACAAGACAAGAGAGACGAGTTAATATAGGTCTCCAGCATCCCACCCTGGTCGTAACACATAACTTACAGGATTGGGTGATCAGCCTCGCTGACTCGGTCGGGGCATGTGTTTTCAACTGCATAGACAGATGCTCATGCTGTCAGTCACTTGATTGATCAGGAACACCTTATTCGAGCAGCATTTGCACAAAAAAAGGTTAACTCTTGCCTCTTATCTCACATAAAGCCAAAACAAGTTGTAAGTTGGGTAAGGGTTGCGGAGACGTGAATTTTACCATCGCTGTCTTCATTGCTTAAGTCACCGCTCTTGTATTCTGTTACCTATGAATTGTACTGACACACACTTTCGTATTGCCATAATGATTCAGAGTACCCTGATTTAAGAACTTACTTAATTTCAGAATACAATTGTTTATTACGTTCTGTACGGACTGATCCCCAAGCTAATTAAGTATTTAATTAATTATTGAATCAGTACGTAAGGACTGCCGCCATGTTTTGTACTGCCATTGTGATACCTCTGTATCGATTTGTATTAATATGTAAACATAGCAATCTTAGAATACGAGTGTTCATTGTAATACATTGCTTCGCTGTTTGTGGGTTTCACGGACTGATTGACGTTATCGTTGTTAACGTTTTCGAATCAACACAAAACGCCTAGTACTCTATTATTTACCAGGCACCTAAACCACAAGACATAGTATAGTTATTCTTACATTCCCATACTACAAGGACTTTATCGACTCAAGCCAGTAAAGGTTCAGCAGTTTTTGTCACCCAAATATTCGCAGGAAATGGACGCGATCGCTTGGATGAGATCAATCGATATCTCGTCGGGAAGATCGGTATAATGAAATTGTATCCGAAATGCAGACTTTTGTGACGTCAGCTTCAAATGACATCACTAATCCCTCTTCCAGTTCAGCTGTATATACAGACCCTGCGTATACTGCGAGAAACTGTAAGGGAGGGAGGATTCATGTTTGGTGGTAAATGAATCCCACCATCAGCATTCCTCGGAGTTTAACTTCTACAGACTCGTGTTGAAACTTTTGACAGGGGAAAAGATAATGTACATCTTAAGTGTTGCACGTAAATGATATCAGTTTCTGTTGGTGGCTGAAAAACTCACTGTTCGCCGTTGACCTTGACATCCGGTGACAGATTGTCTGGGTTGATGAAGGCTGTCTGGATCAGGTTAAAGATGAACGCTCCTCCCCCAAACCCTGCCACCACCAGACCCCCAGCTAGACCCTTCCGTTCCGGCATCCACTGACAATCATACAGGTACACACATTAATCAACGGGTTTGGTTTAACACATACAGAAGCATTGTCCTGACAAGCCTACGATCATTAAGGGCAAAAAAATGGAATCACACGTTTCCGGATGCATTTTGTTGTTATAATCCAAACTTTCAGAAATTCAGTTTCAAAGACATGAAATTATTTTCACCTTCATGGCACATCCCATTGGCAGCGAATAGGCAATTCCGCATCCAAGTCCGTTCATGACGCCGTACGTGAAGATGACGGCGATGTAGGAATGTTGCACCGTGAAGTACGTGAGGATGACGCCAACACTGAAACCAAACATTGGAAGAAGTTCCTGAGTTGACTAAGTAAGCACCGGCCTCCACATACAGGGTAGCACATGATGCATACAGTTTGCAACAGTAAGTGTCCAATGGAAGCATTACCAGCAGGGTTATGACAAAGACACTGTCATTATTTGGGATTAACGGTTTTACCCAAACCTCATTAATGGAAATGTCGTGCATCAAAACCGGGACTGAGGTCTGACGAGTCAAGCTTAAAACCACTGTCCACTCCATAGTGGCGGGACGATGCAGTTCGTCATTGCAATAAATCACTGAAAAAAATCACAATATGACTACTTTAAAATGTCATATTTAATATATCCAAGGGACTCAGAGCGTTTCTGAAAAGACCACCTATTTCTAATTTTTGTCTAATCTCGTCTATCGCTTTCAACTCCATACTTCTAAAAGACACAACAAGTTGTATGTAAGTGTATACATGTCCTGTTGGTCTATTAAGAAGAGTGTTCAGTGTGTGTGCAAGTATCAATCCACCTCATGAACCAGGACCCCAACAGCACGGTGAGTTTCAAGCCCAGGGTTCGGCTGATGATTCCTCCAAGAAAGATGGCTGTTCCTTGTCCCATCAGGCAGCAGGCGTAGATCCACACACTGTCGCCGTAGTCGATGTCGAGGCTGGTTGTGTTGTTACGTAAGTATGACGTCATGTACGGTGTCAAGTTACCTATAGAATCACAATCTCTTGTTATGGTCAGATTTATACACATGGATTTATATGAAGCTCAACCTACTTTTCCATATGATAAGTACGAAAACACTACACAAGGTCATGTTGTTGTGTAAACTTAGACAAACTCAGCACCATGTTACTGTGAAAGCTTGAACAAAGTCAACGTTATGTTACATGTAGAATCAAAACCACATGTTATAATATGATATGCAATAAAGAAAAACAATAGAAGCCCACTTGGATGATCGGCCCGTCAGTTAAATAAGAAAATATAAAAAGGTGTTAAATCATATCGTCTTTGGGGGCTGATTACGATGCATTCAGAAATAATATAACAAATATATTACTTCTGTAACGGAAGTGGAATTCCTGGTGAACATGCAGCCTGAAAGGCCGGTTATGTGTGATGTGAATCAAATGGAATTGTCAGATTCGTTCAGGTATTGAATTCTCCACAAAACGCTATGAAGTAAATTACTCGTGAACTTTGATACGGCATACACAGGACACGTAACTGGGTTATCGTGACATTCCGGTTACATGATTACACTGGCGGGTGCATAGCTCCACCGCTCAGGAGTCTACATGCGCTGCCCAACTGCTACCCTTACAATATCCGTGTTTTAAGTGGGTCACATTCGCTTTTGCCTCGACATCACAATATATATCTGTTATCACAAGAACACCTTGACTATAGCACTGACACATGATGTACGATGGTAGTAGTGAAGTATAGTTACATGAAATACACTGTCCACACACAGCAAACTATGATATCAGTTATACAATGACTGGCAATTTATAATGGTGAACGCCATGCGACCTATATAATGTGTAGTAAAAACAAAAGATTTGTCAACTCACCGAAGGAAAACACGGTGCCAAGGGTGAGATGAACCATCAGACCTCCCAAAACCACCAGGTACGCCCTCCATCGCCCGCACGCCATTGCTCCCTGCAGATCACAACAGGAATAGGTACACGTAGTCAACAGAAGCCGTACGCAGGCCGTCTGACAGGAATTACTACATACTGGTGACAAAGGAAGGGCAGTTTTCGTGTGTTGGCTTACCTTGGCAAATGTTTCTTTTTGTGTTCAGTTTAAATAGGATGTGTTAGTAAATACACCCAGCAAGCACGACCATGCACAGTGAGCATAATACATTGCCTGTATAAACACTTAAATCATTTTTTTGTTTTTTTAATTAAGGAAAAGACTAGCTACGTGCATGCATACACACATAGGACACTTTGGTGCGCTAAGATAAGACATACACCTATAATTGGTTCATTCAGTCAGTCATTACAACTTTTGTCATGGCCCTAATTACTCTGACAGCTCTGTTGGTAGCGTCAACGCAAGAGAATTGCTGGTCATGGTGTGAGTGAGTGAGTGAGTTTAGGTTTACGCCGCTGTTAGCAATATTCCCGCAACATGACGGCGGGTCATGGTGTGAACATTATATGAATGATCTGTTGAACATCAGTGAGGACACCAGGTGTCGCCTGTAAACACAACCCACGATAGAAGTACTCAGATTTACTCAATAAATGATATTGTTGGAAGGAATAAATACGACATTGTTTACCTGAGTGGTGTACACGACATTCTGCACGACACGACATTCTGCATACCTAAGCAGGGCAGTCCATAATATTATGGCATGCTCGTATGGACTCCATGACAAAAGTAGGAAATATTCAGCTTTTGACATTTTATATCTTTAATGAAAGAAAAGTGTAGTGTAACAGGAAAAATAGCTGAGATTTGCATAAGTCGTTGAAAGTCAAATGACCATAGAAGTAGTGTTATGTGTGCTGCTAGCCGGACATTTTCCTATGGAGATTTAACATAGGATTTACTACCTCGCCGCCAAAAGTTACTACCTCGCCAAATGGAGTGGAACGACCCGACCCCGGGTGCCACGCGATGACCTCGAAAGGGTATTGCGCGAAATTGCACAAGTGCTATAAATATTTTGTCATACACACAAATCTCTGAATGAGGTGTTTATTGTCGCACCACTTGATGTGCCCAACCTCTTTTGTTCACCTTCAACCTGAAAGGGTATTGTATGAAATTGCACAAGCGCTATAAATATATATTTGTCATACGTACACACAAATCTCTGAATAAAGTATTGTGCGGAGTTACACTAACCACCCTATAAAATAAGACCGCAAGCCAGTGGGGTTACACAGAACCTATAAAATATATGTACATAATCTGAGAAATTGTATTGACACGTGATACAAGTACCACCGAATGTTTTGGTTTCTTATTTTCTTAGTTACAACAGATGTCTGAATATTCGTGGAGTGTGGTATGTATACCACCGCCTAAGCACAGACCACGATACGGCGAAGAAGTCGAAATTATAACATCAAGAACCACATTCCCAACAAGACTTGACTGCGTAGAAGATGTCACTCGCGCATTAAATGAATCAGATATCGACACCCCTGATTCGTGGGGAGAACCCATCATCATAAGAGAAGGACACCACACTCACCGCTTACTCCTACACGAAGTATGATGATACAATACAACGATGAAATGGAATCGGTATTTATTACACGAACACTACATCGCCTACTTATGTTGGCATACGTCGACGTCATTTCCCAAGACTTGAAATCAACGAAACGCGACACATTCCAGCAGGCACTAGCTTCTATAAACGAAGAAACTGTTATTGTTAAATGGAGAGAGTACATAAGAACTATTCCCAGCATGGTTGCCATATCACCGTTGTATTATTTAAAATATGAATGCAGGGATTATCGCGAAACAGGTTTCAAAACAGACTACTGGGAAGAAGAGCTATATCAACGTGTATTGACAGCGAAAAGATCACACCCGAGGTAAAGGGAGAACACCGCATGGCGCAGATATTACCCCAAAGGTATTATCAACCCCGAGAACAAGGCGCGTTCGCCTGCTTTCAAAAGTTTCTACACACTTTGAAAAGAGACGATCCCGACATTAACTCGACCCGAGTGAGAAAGTGGCTTAACGAGCAAGATGCGTATGCCCTACACAAAGCACCGCGTAGAAGATTCAAAAGAAATAGAGTTATAGTCAGCGGAGTCAGGGGTACAAGCAGACGCTGATTTATGCGACGTGTCAAATATCGCAGACAGCAACGATGGTGTAAGATACCTGCTTATTATCATTGACTGTTTTTCCAGATTCGTATGGATCAAGTCCCTGAAAAACAAAAAAATCGGAAAACGTAGCTCTGGCTATGAAATCCCTATTCACAAATATGCACACAAAGGCTCCGTTCACGCTGAGAACGGATAAAGGCATGGAGTTCCGGAATAAAGCCGTAAAACAAGTTTATAGACAGTATCATATCAAACACTTTGTTACACAAAACGATGATATTAAAGCCAACTACGCTGAACGTTTTATTCGAACGCTGAGAAGTATGCTATACAGATATTTCACTTATAAGAGGACCTATCGCTACACGAACATTATACAGGACATTGCTTACAACTATAACCACCGCCCACACAGATCACTGCCGAACGGGAGGTCTCCCGCTGACGTTAATCACACGAACGAAGCCGGTATATGGTTGGATATGTATGAGAGTAAGAAATCAACATCCAACAAAAGACCACCACCCAACGTGAAAGAGGTAAAGCCGAAGAAACCACAACCATCGTATCATCATCCCCCGAGATACGCGTTTAAGATAGGGAACCTAATACGACTATCCCTTAGCAAGAGAACCTTCGAAAAAGACTACCAGGAGAAGTGGACTCAAGAGGTCTTTAGAGTCGTGAGGAGAGAGCGCCGAGACGGCATTCCTATCTACAGCGTAGAGGACCTGGAATCAGACCCCATTCAAGGCACATTTTATCAATCTGAATTAAACAAATTTCATAACAAAAACCGAGGAAACACTTTGGCGTATAGAGACTATTTTAAAGCGCAGAACAGTGAAGCACAGTGGTAATAAGAGAGGCACCAAGCAAGCATTTGTTAAATGGGTCGGTTTTCCAGCGAAATTCAATTCGTGGGTTGACGCGAAGGAGATCGTGTAAAAACAACAACCCAAAAACAGGATACGCGTTACCATGAAGGATGAATGGATAGTTGCCCACAGTGATAACAGCGCTCCATACTTCCCAGACAACCAACCCCACAAGTTTTCCTTGTATCTACAACAACCGTTACGATTGGATGGGCACTGAACCATCGCTTTGAGGGAATTCTATGCTAAACGAACAAAGGGAGGGAGAAAGACAAAAGTAACAGATGACATGCTCTACATCTACTGCTCCATATGCGAACCCATCATTGTCGACGGTGAACGTCAACCTCTTCTACACCGTGTAAAATCAACAACATCAACAACCAGACAGTCGTGGAACATAAAAATAGATGAACCGTATGACATCGGCATTCGTCTCATCAACGACACTATTCAACAGATCGATATATACATAACAGATGTGACAGGCAGTCCAGCCACATTCTTAACGGATGTGTCATCACTAACGCTTCAATTGAGACGATACCCTTTTCTGGTTTAGATATACGTTTTAATAATAAAACGGAGAAGAGGACAAAAATACACTCCACGACAAGGAAAGCCAAGGAACAATGTCGGATATTTTAATAGAACACCACCCATACACAGGAAAAGATGAAAGCGACGATGGTCTATACATACCAAATATATCTATGTGGCGAAAATACTATGGCGACGTCGCCGAAAGAAAGAAGAGGAACGGTGACACAACACACCCACAACATCGAGAGCTAGTCGGTACCATTAATTTCAAACCGTCATCTAGTATGATCACACTGGATCGAACCTCAACATCCGCGACCTATTGCCTCCACCACCGACAACCTCTTCTTCTATCAAAACAACAACAGTCAATGATGACGTCATTCCACAAAAGGACATAAGAATAGTAAGCCCGAGTGAACAGATCATAGATCAAGTGAGGGCGGAGATCAGACGACACCTCGATTTGGTCTCCACAAGCGCCATGGGTTTTATCAATAAAAAAAGCAGACGTGTGCGTGAAGGCGACAGTGCACCACGGTCACTCACGGGAAAAGGGAGAAGTAGAAGAAGGAGAATAAACCACCTCACTAAGCGAACAACCACTCGACTCACGAAGAAGAAGAAGAGGAAGAACACAAGTAGTGGTAAGAAGAAGAAGAAGAAGAGGAATTCGACATCACGCACGCAAAGGCGGAAGAGAACTATTGAGGACATTTTCGGTTATTAACTAAAATAATAGAGAGAGATCGGACATGACGGCACTAACAAACGACCCCAAGTTTTTTTCCGAAATGCAACCACCAGAACTATCCTTATTCGAACTACCACCAACGCAAACAGCTGTTGAACGGACCTATCTACAAGACTACCGCCCGGTATCACATTTAACCGCATCCGCACCCATCGAGTTCCACATCAGTGGTCAAAACGGATTGGAATACATTTTCCAAATAGAGAAAAGCAGAAACGTTGTCGTATAAAAAATAAAATAAAAAAGGGAGAGGTACCTGTGAACGAAGTTATGAACACTTACCAGCTAGAATGCGTTATACAGTGTGACCCTGTACTTAGACAAAACGTTTCGGGAGTGTACGCTCTGAATCATTTAACAAAAGATCTGGCGAACCGTATGAGAGAGGGACCCGTGCAACCATCTGCTATTATAGTTAATACGGAACGAGCTCACGAACGGGGTCAACACTGGTTTGCTGTCTACGTAAACGTCAACAACATTGACATTTTTGACAGCCTCGGATTCGATCACGGGATAGTCCACAGACTAAAAGAGGTACAAGACTTTGTGGAGAATATAAATAACAATAACCAACGTCATCGTCCTCGTCGTCGTCGCTAAACCAAAAGAGCATTAGTTTGGAACCACACCCGAGTCCAGAGTTTGTGGGGGAAAACGTGTGGACAATACGTTGTGTATTATCTCCTATTTCGACTAAGAGGGTGGTGTTTGAGAGACATAGTACTTGAACATTTTTCCAGAAACAATTATATGGGAAACGATTGTTATGTTTATGAATATATAGCAAGGAGGTATCCATTTTGTGTCAGTTCGCAACCACCACTAATATCGTGGTGACCTAATCACTACACTCGCAACATGGAAGGGGGAAGCATTACGCTT